CTAATATGAGCGAGAATAGTATCGTCAATAGAATTCATCATTTCATTTATTTGTGTGTGGGCTGTGATACTGCCTAGGTGCCCAAACCGAAGCAGATGGTTTTCTTAGGGGGCCACACCCGGAGCCTTTGACCTGAATGTCTGATCCACAAGGCAGTGGAGAATCGTGAGGAGATGCAGTCCCATGGTAGCCGGTGACCAACGACAGGTTCGTCCGCCATTCGTTCCATCAGGATACTGGAGCCCATGTGCACCATTGGTTTGGAATCAGGGTTTTCCAACTCCCCTAGGTGGATCCTCCACATCCACCAACCTGGTTAAGGCGCCGGACATTCGCTTTTCGTCCTCTCACTTTCGTGAACAACACCCCAGCCACGAGAAGGCAGTGAGTAGGACTTCCCTGACAGAGGCTATATATTGGCGTGGCCATATGAGAGCATTTGAAGAGGGAGAGCAGACTCTCCCCACTCTCGGCCGTACCAGGGCATTTGGGGGCAGTCAGATGGAATTACGTTCAGTTCCCAGATACTACCTAAGACCTCGTTGCTAGTACTGGATTACCATCCTTAAAAATCTCAAGGGTAAACCTGTCAGGGCCTTCGACTCTCCCTCGCTTTAGATTTCCTATAGCTTTTTCAACCTCGTAGAGAGTTGGAGGACTTACCTCAATTTGCCATTCAGGACGACTGGGGATCGTGGGTGACTGAAGTGTGGCTGAAGGCTAGTTGAACTGATCCCTAAAGTGTTCTGCCCATCGATCCAATCTCCTGGACTGAGAATGAATGATATGCCCATCTTTGTCTGAGATAGTTTTGCTAATAGTTGGGTTCCTTATGCCGGTTTCTTTAATAAGTCTGAATAGCTGTCTGCTGTTACCTTTTGCCGCTGCCTTTTCCATCTCTCTTGCTTTCGCTACCCACCACTGTTCACGATCATTGTGTAGGCTTCTTATTAGCCTTCGCTTAAGCTGACTCCGCTCTTTGTTATGTTCAGAGCCATGTGAGATGAGTTTTCTAGCATCTATCAGTGCGGTAGATGCTTCCGAGATCCATTGTTTCTCCTTAACCTTATGGCTTACCTTACTAGCGGATATCACTGCTGTTTCCACAGCTTTTCGGATGTCATTCCACGTTGCTTCGGGGTGGACACAACTTACATGCCTGTCTAACTGTTTTTCCAGTTCCTGAAATATATTCTTCGCTTGCCTATCATTAAGTAGAACCCTTAGAGGCTTCCCTGCAGTGTCTTTCCTACGTTCAGTAAGACGCAGACAGATACGTGCTCACACTAGAGCATGATCTGAATCTAAACATGTGCTCCAGAATGAGCGACAGTCTTCTATCGAGCCCCTCCATCGGTGGTTGATCGCGGTGTGATCTAATTGGGTCCAGCGTTAGGACGAGTTCGGGGGTCGCCATGTCAAAAGATGTTTTTCCTTATGCTTAAAGTTAGTATTTGCAAGAAATAGGTGGTTATCTGAGCACAGCTGCAACAGATGGTCGCCATTATCTGTTCTTTTAGCCACGACACCATAAGATCCTCCCAGGTGTCTTTCCCTTTCACTTAGTTTATCTACTTGAGCATTAAAGTCACCAGCCACTATTACTACATCAGAACGCCTAGCTTTTCGGAGAAGGTCAGAAAGTTTCCTGTAAAACTCATCTTTTATATCGTCTGAGCTGCAGTCAGTGGGAGAGTAGGCAGAGACGACGAAGAGGCAACGACGAGTTTCCCTATGTTTCCGAGTCCTTACTGATCCGTTTAGTCGGACAGCGCATAGACGACTGTCTACTTGGATCCAGTCTAAAAGAGCTAGTTCTGCCCTAGGACTTAATGCTATACCTACTCCAGCGAGGCCACGGGAAGCAGCATCAGGGCTTCCAGATACACGAAGCGTGTATCGAGTTGGTTAGGTGAGGTCAAATGAATGACGCTACTCGGATCTTGTATGCGCGTTTCGGAGACGCAGCACACATCGATGGTGTAAGATTCTAGAGTCCTAGCTAAGGAAGCCTGTTGTCCTATTTGGCACAATGTTCGGACATTAAAAGTTCCTATATGTGGTTTAGAGCGTGGTTTCAGGAGACCAGGAATAACGTTCCGTGTACTCGAATCGTTTGCCCTAGCGGTGCGAGGTGATAAAAGGACGTGGGAAGGGTTAGTCGTGGAGATAAGAGAGTTGTTAGGAGGTGTAGGAAGGATTTGAAAGTGACCAACTTGGTCTCGTGTGCAGTTAAGGGTATGAGGGCTAGTATCACTTCCCGGCTGCCCACACCGTGGAAGGGTATTTCTTGAGGGACGTGAAAGAGAAGTTGGATTAGTGTTGGTCTTAACGACCTGAGAGCGTGACCGCAGTGCCCAAGGGATAACTGCTTGAGGCCGGTCTCGCACGGCCTCTTTGTGGGGGATTTCTGACGTGTTAGCTCCGTTCTTCAAAGGACCTTACCGCCGGAGAAGGAAATCCGTGGGATAAGGCGAGGTGTGCATTTTTAGGGTCGACCTTTTCTAACCCCACCCTCCTTGTGGGAAGACAGCATCGCTGTCATTCTGGTTGTCTGAAGGAAACACCTTACTGCTGTCACACCTCTGTACAGTCAGCAGTACGACTTCGCCTTCGGACCTTGGGATTGCTGCTTTTAGTCTTAGCGCTCTTCAACCGACCTGTCTGGCATGGTAGGACCTTGAGGAACGATTGTTCCAGCCAGTATAGCTCGATTGGATCATCACGATAGGCAAGCCCGACCACGTCAAGGTAGTAGCAACGGTCGGGAAGTTTAAACCTTATTCCTCTTAATTCGCTTACTACCACTAATTTCGCTGAAAGCCGAGCACATATGTGTATTTGTTTATCATGGTTCATTAAACTTCAATATCAAACCCACATTGCACTTCTTAAGTCATAACGTGGAGCCTGACATGTAGATCGGTCCAAGTCACGATACCACAACGAAATTAAATTATCGAGGCAACTCATGGAGTAGTAGAAGTAGTAAGTGTTAGTCTTGGTGGAAAAGAGAAACGAAAAATCTCGTGGTCGAGGCCCTAAAAAATACGAAGTGTGAATGCACCCGTTTTACCGTCTCCCTTAGCTTTCTCCCAATCCATTCCTATACCATAAGACATCTCCCGTTTAGGTAGGCGCAAGTTTTGGCGTACGTAATGTATGTCCCAACTACCTATCAATGAAGGTTTACTTCCTCATCAGCTAAATTTCTAGCTTTACCTAGGACTTTATCCTTAACTTCAGCACTGCTAATTCAGTGGTCTTTTTTTATACACAAACAGTGATTCAAAGGCACTTGTATTCAAGTACTAGTAAACTAACCGTCTAAAACAAAGGGAAGAGTTACAAATACCTATTTTGAATAAGTTTCTCACTGTCTTATTGGGAAGCGTCACAGTTTCATTCGTCTTAGATTAGTGACTAAAGTTGATGTGAGATTTGAGTGATACGTCTTCACTTCCCGGACTTGTGTTACTCCTAGCGCTTAAAGAATATGCACGAACCCAAATCCTACTGGAAGCATCGATTCCATCAGGATTGTAGACACTCCTCACTTTCAAGTGTTAACAGTCACTCATGATCACTATGAGACCTGGCACAAATATACATCACACCAACACAGTGAGATAAAAGGGATATGATAAATATCATACTAGTTGAGGTAATAGTATGATTGGTAGTTTAAAGTTTAAAAATAAAGGAATTCTCCGAAAAGAAGGAATGAATTCTCTGAATAAAAAGTATAAAGTAGTGTTGAAACTTGGAATAGAGGAGGGAAAAAGATGAATAAATCTGTAGCACATCCTTACCAACCGATTTTTCGTCTTTCTTTGTTACCCTACTACTTTCAGCATTTATCACTTAGTTATCCCCACATGCTACCAATGCTTCGAAGATATCAGTCATAGAGCCGAATATTAAGTAGTATACACGCTCCCTAATTGACAGACAAACAATTTGTTTTGGAGAAAATCCCTCGCAAAGTTCATGCAATTTTCCGGCACATTTTAAAGTGAAAATTCTAAGAAATCTCCAGGTCGACGCAATCAAATCCTATCTTAAGGTCGAAGGATACAACTATGGTGTGTATGTGTTTCAGAATTCGACGAAGGTTGAATATTTGACTGGTACATCCACATCTAGGTCTGAAATTAGTTCGGTTCCCCTAAGTTTACTATCCGCAAACTATCTAAATTTCAGATGATTATTGGGGTTAATACTTTAAATATTATATTGATGAGACTGATTCCTCCCTGGTTATCTCAAGAGGGCTTTATTCCTTTTAAAAACTGAAGCAACCAGCGATTGAGGTCAGTCAGATGAGGTTACGTTTAGCTTCCAAACTCTAGAAAATATCCCGGTCATCCTAACCACCAAGTTTGGACCACAATTCTTAGAGACCCCCAAAGTTATTTCATCAGATCCTGTTACTCTATCTCTTCCCTCAGGCTAAATGTGTTGTTTCTAACTTCATTAAGTGTGTGAGACATTTTTCGACCTCATACTCAGGTTGTTTGGTGGTGATGAGTAGCTGGAGAGTATCTGGAGGCCACTAAAACTTACTTCCTCTCACGTAGGATGACATAAGTTCGTGGTTTGTAGACAGTCTTACTAATGGCTGACTTTTTAACACCTAGGTCTAATGTTTACATTATACTTTCTTATTTCATTAATTTATGTTTTCTTTCCAGTCATATTATCTATGTTTAATCTTTTAAAATATGGCTAATACTGTTACTCCTTCTATTGATGTGGGATTTGTCTTAGTAATTCCATCCTGCCGTATTGATGTGCCATGACAACTTGAACCAATGAAAGCATGTACCGGTTCCTAGGTTGCTTATAATTGATTGATAGGCTTAGTAACTTTTCAAAGTATTCAGTATGTTTTATCGTGGAACATTATTGCGTGTTTATTTGGTAATGAATCTTTTGGGACACTTATTCTATTGATTAACATAAATTTCAAACTAATAAAACTTTCTCATTTACTCCAGATCGTTGACTGTAACATATTCTAATGGCTGACTATCTGAAGTCTGCATTGAGCTATTTCTCCACCTCAAACACTACTAAAAATGAAAATGAATTTCTTGGCAGTAGTATATCTGTCGGGCACCTAAGTTTAAAAGTTAAAAGAGTTATTGCTGAAGGCGGCTACGGAATAGTTTATGAAGCTCAAGATGTCAATGAAAATATATCATATGCGTTAAAGGTATCCGTTTACTTTTATAATAACTTGTTTAGCGTATGCTCGCTCACGACAAACCTTCAGCAGATTTAATTCTTCATGAAGTTCGTTTACTGGTATGGATGCATCTGAAATTATATTACCGTATTGATGAAATTTTTACCTTTAGAAACAGTTGAACGGACATCCAAACATCCTTAAGTTTTTTAGTGCAGCATCTGTTGGTAAAGAGAAAATGAAGGTTATTGGTACTGAGTTCCTGATAGTCACAGAGTTTTGTAAAGGCCAGTTCATATTTTATTTCTTGATATTTGTTAAACACTTTTCATACTGTGGCCTTATTTTTGTATATGTATAGACAAATTTTGTATCCTAACTATTCCTGTTATCCTGTGCAATTTTTCTACCATATTAAAAAAGATATAACAGATTAATTTATTTGTGTGAAAGGGCTACTTTTCACTCTCGAAACATGTTTGTCAGTAACTGTATTAGTTTCTAGTAATAATTCTCTCTATGATCCACTTATATCAGTGAACCATCTTTCAAATTTCTTCTCTATTACATAGTTAACAACGTAATAGCTGGTATTGGTTTATTTGCGATCAAGGAAGTCTGTATCAGAGCTTTGTCAACAGTTAAATTTCTTAATGTTTAACTCTCACAAATGCCCTGGTACATCCAAGAGTGGGGAGGGCCCGCCCTCTCTCGAATTGCCCTCACACGGCCACGCATATACAGCCTCTGTCAGAGAAGTCCTACTCACTGCCCTCTCGTGGAGAGGGTATTGTTTACGAAACTGAGAGGACGAAAAGCAAATGTCCGGCACTTTAACCGAGCTGGTGGACACGGTGAGTCCACCTAGGGGAGTTGGAAAACCCTGATTCCAAACCAATGGTGCACATGGGCTCCAGGATCCTAAAGGAGCAAATGGCGTATGAACCAATCGTTGGTCACCGGCTACCATGGGACTGCATTCCTGACGTTGCTCTGCTGTCTTTAGGTCAAAGACCTACTGCTGAGAAAACGTTCTCGTTGACTAAATTTTCGGGCAATGATCTCCTTCCAGTAGGTCCACTTATGAACTTTGAATACACAGATGATATAGTCCTGTTTAGTGAAGACGTCGACAAAATGCAGAGTCTTCTGTTAGCACTGAGTAACAATATAAGGATGTTTGGGATGCTGGTAATGAGAATGATGGTAAATCAGTTGATGAGGTTGTGAATCTTCATGAACTGAGATGGTTAGGCCACGTGTTACGTATGCCTGGACACTGATTACCACGACGCGCTAAGCTGACTAGTATTGGCGATGGTTGGAAGAGAGCTAGGTGTGGCCAAATCAAAATGTGGCATTAGTGCTTAAAGTCACTAACTTCTGATCTGAGCCATGTTGTTAGATGCAGACTACTTGGTTAGGGTCCGTGTGACTATCGTAACCAATGGTTGGAGACTGTGTGACATGGCTCAGAATCGATCACAATGGCATAGATGTATACACTAATTGTCTTCTCTTAAACCTTGAGATTAAAATTGCTTCATATCTTTCTTTCTTCTTGTAATATATCCTTATATACAATCTTTTGTATATTACCACCATTAAATTAACTACTTTTATGAATCCGGTGTTCATCTTGTTGTGCTAATGAGGTGTGGCGACTTGGACCGATGTATATATGTGCCTGGTCCTACGTTGTAGCTATCTGACTGACGTTGTTCTGCATAAACATCAAGTTTTTCCTTCACTTTCCCTTTTTCTTGTGTTACTATCTAGTTTTTGAAATGTTGTATTGAGGTCCCATTAAGAAGGTTCGCAATAGGAACGTTTATATTAAAATATAGAACAGATAGGGCTGGCTATTTCTTTAGAGAGTTTTAATATCTACGTCTGTTATCTATCTGAGACCCGTATTCAAGACTGGTGAAGTACTACAAATTCGCTCTCCATCTGTCTTTTCAAAAGGCTTGTTCTACGTGCGTTTATCCGGGTACCCTTGGCATCTTTACCTAGTCTTGCTGGCGTTGATGTCTCACTAAGCGCTAAAGCTGAGGCTGCACTAATCGATTGGATCCCCATTAAAAGTCGGTTACGTGCTGTTAGATTAGAAAGTTCCACCAAAGTGAGAAGAAATCGGTGTGAGAAACGATGTCTTTTCGTCATCGCCTATGCTCCGACAAATTGAGGTCCGGATGCAATCAAGGAAGAGTTTTACCATCAGTTAACAGTTCTTCTCCAGAAGGCGCGTTCGACAGATATCGTAGTATTAGCTGGAGACTTGAATGCTCAGGTCGGGCGTCTAGGCACAGAAGAGAGTCGTTTAGGTGGCCAATGGTGACTTGTTGGTCACAGGTCAGATAATAGGGACCGTCTACTGCAACTGTGCACAGATTACAACCTGTTTCTGGCTAGCACTAACTTCCGGCACAGTCATCGCCGGTGTGCCACCTGGCGTCCTCCCTCTGCATCCCAAGCCTGGACTCAGATTGATCACATCGCGATCAGCTACCGCTGGCGTGATTGTGTACAAGACTGCCGCTCCTTTTGTAGTACTTATCTGGAGTCTGATCATGCCCTGGTCTGCGCCAATCTCACCTTACTTTTCAGTGGCCAACGAATTGACAATCATCAACGGATTGATGTCAGTAAATTGGTTGCAACTTCTTTTACAAGTAGGTATCTAATCGACCTAGCTTCTAGACTAGCTGCCATCCCACCGAAAAGTATAGATGAGCATCGGTTGCAACTGCATGACGCCATGAAAAAAACGAGTAAAGTCGCTTGCGGCTTCGCGAAACGTCACTCATCGAAGCCCGTCAGTCAACTCCAGGTGGCCGTGAGTTTGACCACAAACGAACGCCGTTACGCAGTGAAATCGGGTAAAGCTTGCTTAAGGACCGAGAAGCTTGGTGATTGGAGCGTGCTAATGAGCTGGAAGTAGCAGCGGCCTCTGGTAACTGCCGGAAGCTCTTCCAACTCATCCGAGCCACTGGCAGCAAGAAGTCTGGACCGAGCGAAAAAACCAATGAGGATGACGGGATGCCCATCACTAACGCCCATCGGCGATGGACGATGGGCAGAGTCCCTCGATTTTATTTATTTATTTATTTAAACACATAAATATTGGTACAAGGAAGCACCAGATAAATATGCGCCTCACAAATCTCATTCGATTTGTGTGAGGGCTGAGATACTGCCCAGGTGCCCAGACTGAAACATGTGGTTTTCTTAGGGGGCCACACCCGGAGCCTTTGACCTAAAGGTCTAATCCACAAGGCAGTGGAGCATCGTAAGGGGATGCAGTCCCATGGTAGCCGATGACCAACAGTTGGTTCATACGCCATTCGTTCCTTCAGGATACTGGAGCCAATGTGCACCATTGGTTTGGAATCAGGGTTTTCCAACTCCCCTAGGTAGACTCACCGTGTCCACCAGCTCGGTTAAAGCGCCGGACATTCGCTTTTCGTCCTCTCACTTTTGTGAACAACACCCCAGCCACGAGAAGGCAGTGAGTAGGACTTCCCTGACAGAGGCTATATATTGGCGTGGCCATATGAGAGCATTTGGAGAGGGAGAGCAGACTCTCCCCACTCTCGGCCGTACCAGGGCATTTGGGGTCAGAGATCTTCGAAGGGCAGTTCAACTGGTCTGCTGCCCTGGTAACATCGATCAGACTGTCCTGCCCTTCATGGCTGGTGACGACTGCTCCACCAAATGAGGTGGAAGTCCTCAAGGAACTCCAACTCTTGAAACGCTCCAAATCACCAGGCCCAAATGACTTACCTACGGCTCTTTTTAAAGATGGTGGTGACTTTCTGGTTAAGGAACTAACAGCGGTGTTTACAATGGTCTGGGAGCTAGAGAGTGTTCAAACATCATGGAACGAGTCGATATTTGTCCTTATCTCTCAAAAGGGTTCGCGTCGTTTCTGCAGCAACTATCGAGAGATAAGTGTACTTCCGATTACGTTCAAACTATCGTCATACTCCGTAGATTGTTCGAAGCCTGAGAAAGTTTGACTCGCGAGGAGCAGGATGGTTTTCGTTCTGGTCGAGGATGTATCGATCATATCTTCACTCTTCGCCAAATGTTAGAACATCGTCATACTTATCACAGGCCAACAATCGTAGTGTTTCTTGATATCAGGGCTGCCTTCGACTCTTTGGACAGGACTGTCCTCTGGGAGTGTATTGAAGAAGGGTGTGCCTGAGAAGTTTATTAACATCTTAAAAGCCCTGTATACAAACACCTTTCTCCCTTGTTCCATTCAAGCAGTGGGGTTAGGCAGGGTTGCCCAATCTCACCATTCCTCTTCAACGACATTCTGGAAACAGTACTGTTGGATGTAAGTAATGGCGGTATGGATCTGCTGCCTGGAGAAAAACTTCTCGACCTTGAGTATGCGAATGATATTGTCCTACTGTGCGATAATGTCCAAGCCATGCAATCCGCACTAAATCAGTTGTCAATCAGTTTCCATAGGTACGGCATGTGCTTTGCACCTTCGAAGTGCAAAGTACTTCAACAAGACTGGCAGGATTCTCATCCTGTAATCACCCTGGTTGGTGACCAGATTGAAGTATTCGAAAAGTTCGGGCATATAGGTAGCTATATAAGTGCTGGTGGTGGCGTGAGTGATGAGATCGATATACGTATAGCGAAAGCCAGTGCAGCTTGTGCCAATCTGGGCCACCCGTGACGCCTTCGTGATGTTAAACTGGCTGTAAAAGGTCGGATCTACAACGCGTCAGTGAGAGCAGTTTTCAGTCAGTCAGTCAGTCAGTCAGTCAGTCAGCTACAACGTAGGACCAGGCACATTTATGCATCGGTCCAATTTGCCATACCTCGTTAGCACAAAATGATGAACACTGGATTTATAGTTAATTTAGTGGTGGTAGTTTATAAATGATAGGTTGTATATAAGGATATAGTATAGGAAGGAAGAACTTTATGAAGCAATTTTAATCTTAAGGTTTAAGGGGAGATAAAGAGTGTATACACCTTCACCATTGTGATCGATTCTGAGCCATGTCACCTAGAGTCTCCAACCATTGGTTACGATAGTCACGCGGACCCCAACCAGGTAGTCTGCATCTGCAGTTTTGCTCTATGCTTGTGAAACCTGGCCTCTCCAAGTTGAGTATGTTGGACCACTCTCTGTGTTCGATCATCGTTGTCTCCGAAAGATTGCTGACATCCAGTGGCAACACCATGTTAGTAATGCAGAGGTTCGGCATCGTGTGTTCGGGCGCAAAGACGGTAATCCAATTAGTGTCATCATCTTGAAATATCGACTTCGGTGGCTTGGGCATGTTCGTCCCAAAGAATTCCACGTCGTGCATTATTCGCCGACCCTGGGACTGGTTGGAAAAAGCGGGGAGGTGGTCATTGTATGACATGGTGTCAGTATCAGATTTCGGACACCGCATGTCTATATAATGGCATTAGTGTGAAACGGCATGTAGCCTTGTCATTGGGCGTTTCACATTTAAAAGTTGGAAATATTATTGGAGCTAATATATCGACCGAATTACGTACAGGTTTTATTTGAATAGGACAGGAGCAGTAAGCGTAGTAGAATAAAGTGAATTCATTTATTTCATGGATTCTCATCAGCTGCTCACAACTTAGAAATGGTAGTAATTATTCATAACCTTTGTAAATACATTGTATCATATTAATGAAGATTGGTAGAATAACGACAATAAGTATGTAAGAACTGTAAAGTGGATGACTTTTTATGTTTTTAACTGGAAATTCTAGGAGCGAAATTCTAATACATGGAGACACGTCCTTAAAGCATAAATATTGATATCAAAGTTGCACAATAAGATTTTTGATAGAATAAAAAAGTAAGAAAAGTGAAACTCAAGAATGGAGTGTTTTAATAAAATAAAGATAAGGTTTCAGAAGTGTAATGAAATTAAGTAGATTGTAAGAAATTAATGGGTTTTAAATTTTCGTTTTAGACTTAGATCTTTCGATGAAATATGTTTATCTACTTTGTTTCGTCAACTCACCACATAGAACTGTTGCTATACTAATGCCGTCAGTGAATTATCCATTTTCGAATGTGACTTAAGTTTTCATAACTCATATCTCATTAGTGTTTTGAGAATCCATCTACAAGTTTAATCTTGTTTTGCACGTGAATTATCCCGTCGATTATACTCTTTGAACGTTCATCCCTCTGACTTTTTCCGTTGTTAACCTGTTCTCTGTCTGTATATTAGGGCAGTCATTTGGTAGGGCATTACTGTCCATCCTCAATAAATATCAATATTACTCGTATTTTATTCATTCTGTGCGTTTTTTAATGTAATTCCGAATGTATATCATTTCCTTTATTTTATATATTCATCTCCAATCACAATAAAGAGTACTATTTTTGTTGTAGAGACATAAATATTAAAGCAAGATTTGTGAGTGCTAGAACCATACATTTTACGTTAACCACATTGTTCGTATTGCTTGTAAAACTTCAGGAAAAATTAAGTCTTACATAAAATATGAAAGCAGTGGTTAATGAATCCTAAATGAAATGCCAATACCTCTTTTATAGGATACAAGAATTTCATATGTGAGCAGTTTAGCTAAATAATCTCTTTCTTAAATTTAGGGGGTCAGTTGGATAAATATTTACCGGCATCAAAATGTGAAAATCCCCTACCGTCGAACATTATCTTACAAATATTTCATCATTGTTGTCGTGGTGTACAACATATGCATAGTCAATGTCCACCTGTGCTACATCGAGATTTGAAAATTGAAAATTTATTACTTACTGATAATTTTATCATAAAGTTATGCGATTTTGGTAGTGCAACCACAATTACATATAGTCCAGATCAATCATGGACTGCTTTAAAACGTGGAAGTGTTCAAGAAGAGGTGAGTGTTGTGTTGTCAGCGGAATTAATAATCATTTTTATAAGTCAGTTCTATCTATTGTAGCACTTTTATTTTTGAACAAATACGAAGTGATCAAAGTATTTAACTCTTAAATTGAGCAGTTTAAAATTTGTCACATCAAATCACTTGGCAAATCACTGACAAGGTCTAAATTGAGTCACGCTACAAACATGCGTTACTGAAATGGAAGAAAGTATTTACTCACAACGGCTAAATACTAAAATATCGATGCAGTTTATTTTAAAACTAATATGTATTCAGCTGCGTACACCCAAAACGTACATAGTGCTTCTTTTAAATGTTTGTTCATTTATTCCCCTTCTGTAATTTACAGTGTGCTATAGGTTACATATTTAAAGTTTGGGTGTTTTTGTATTCCATATTTGAGTAATATATGTTGGGTTAATTATTTCACTCTAAATCATTTACATAACCTCTTATCTAGACTTTAGAGCTTAAACGCTAAATAAGTTCATCCTTGTTGTTTAGTTGTGGACTTCGCAAAATCAGACAAAATTAAGGCATATTTTGTAGTGTGAATCTTATCTTCTTGGGAGTTCACTTTGATAGTACAGTACTCTTCCTATGTATATTAGTCCATGGATTTCTAAGTTCGTCAAATGAAGATATTATACAAAAGGTTGTATTGTAGTTTTATCCATCAAATTATCTTTTTTTTATCTACTTTCTTATAGTTGTACCTTTGTACTGAATGATTACTGATCTGTTAAGTATCGTGTTTTACTAATAGTGATAAGTACTATTGAACCAGTAAATAAGTCTTACATTAATTTTCGGATTATGTCTGCACAAAACTAATCCTAGCAAACTTTTTTTTGCATTGTCTTTTAATATTGATATTACCTTCTGATTATAAATTATTTTGTGAATAGATTTTCAAAACATATATCATGTTCTTTTTATCGATCATTCAAACTTTATCTAGTTCACTTGTAAGTTTTATAGTTCGTCTTCTCCGTCCTTACTATGTTTTTTTTCTTACATCTTTTTAACTCTTTTCTTAAGCTGGAACGTTTCACAACACCAATGTACCGGGCTCCAGAAATGCTTGATCTTTACCAAAATTATCCTATTGGTACTCCATCGGATATTTGGGTAAGTCAATATTTAAAATAAAGGTTTATTTAACTGTAACCAATTTTTATACTAATTAAGCAGTATTGTTGTGTAATCTTATTTATTTATTTAAACACATAAATATTGGTACAAGGAAACACCAGATACATATGCGCTGCACAAATCTCATTCGATTTGTGTGAGGGCTGTGATATTGCCCAAGTGCCCAAACTGAAGCAGGTGGTTTCCTTAGGCAACCACACCCCGAACTTTGACCTGAAAGTCTAGTCTACAAGACAGTGGAGCAACGTCAGGAATGCGGTCCCATGGTAGCCGGTGACCAATAATCGGTTCATACGCCATTCGTTCCTTCAGGATCCTGGAGCCCATGTGCACCATTGGTTTGGAATCAGGGTTTTCCAACTCCCCTAGGTAGACTCACCGTGTCCACCAGCTCGGTTAAATTGCCGGACATTTGCTTTTCGTCCTCTCAGTTTCGTAAACAATACCCTCGCCACGAGAGGGCGGTGAGTAGGACTTCTCTGGCAGAAGCTGTATATGAGTGGCCGTGTGAGGGCAATCTGAGAGAGAGGGCGGGCCCTCCCCACTCTCGGCCGTACCAGGGCATTTCGGGGTGATCTTGGAAGTAAATAATATTGTCGTATTTCTCTCGTTTGATATTGTTTGGTAATCAAAGTTGTAGATTTATAAGAGCCTGAATACCAATTAGAAATATAGTGTGGCAAGCCTTTATTGGACCGGACATACCAAACTTATTGCCTATAGGGTTTCTATGTTTAAAGAGACTACGAGATCATCTAAATCTGCGAACGGAGCGAGGACTAAGCGACAAAATGACCAAATAAACTAAGTGTTTCGATGCGTCCCAGCCCCGCTAACTATAGGGAGAAGTCCAGGTTCAAAAGAGTGAAAGCCTATTCCACAAACAGCCAGAAACATGAATCACAACAAGCACCACTCTAGCGTATATATACATCATAAAAATATCCCTGGGAAACGTCACAAAACAGCATATTAAAAGATACAACGAATTAATTACATTTAGGGTCCTTCCGAGTGGGAAATACAATCTGAAGGTAAAAATGAGCGCATTTGGCGCGGAAACCAGAGATTCACATTTCCAAAACAAAATTACAAAAATACGTTTACCAAGAGAGTCGTTTAGGTGGCCGATGGGGACTTGTCAGATAATAGGGACCGTCTACTGCAACTGTGCACAGATGAAAACCTGTTTCTGAAACGTTTATAATAGAATATCTGGACTGTTCCTAAATTCGCTAGTATTGTAGACCAACTGAAAGCCTGAATAAAGATAATCATTCTTGTTAAGTCTCAACAGAACTTGATAGACTTGTGATGTCTGTTTCCCTTGTTTTACAATAAACAAGAACGACAAACGGAGAAAAAGGTGTAGTTAATCCAGGATTTTTTAAAAACAATGTCCGATAACATAGTTCGAAGTGTTATAAATCAATCACATTTGCTTTCTAAGTATTCTGTGTTAGTTTTCATTTTTTCTCATGTTTGATTTTTTATATCAAGCTAGATCGTGCATTTTCTGAAGTTGTATTATACTAAATAATTTAAAATTAATTTAGTTTTGTTTCTAATTAGTTACATATATTCAATTTAAATAAATTTACATAAGCAAAGTTTCTTGATATGGCTTAGAATCCATCACAGTGAAGTAGTTATGTTCACTCTTTATCTTCCTTTAAATCCTGAGTTTTAAAACTATCTCGAGGTGACTAATTTTTCTCTTTATCTTATAGTCAATCTATCATATTATTATTATTATTTATATGGTTCATTAAATTCAAAATTCTTAAAATAATTTTGATTGTGTGTTGATGTTCGAAACCTGTGTTTATTAGTTTATAGCTAGAGAGTGAGAATTTAATTTAAAAGCAATATTTCGACACTCAATTCGTATTTTTAGGAAACCATATTTTATTTGTCTAACAAGTATCATTATTATTATTGTTTGTTACAAATGAAAGTACTCAATATTTTTTAATGTTTATTTTTATCATTTTCTTCCTTTTCGTTTAAGGCTTTGGGTTGTATATTATTTTATTTAACATGTACTTATCATCCATTTGAGGATTCATCGAAGTTGGCTATTCTCAATGCTAATTATAGTATACCAGCGTCAATAAGTTCAGAGAATGCACCATTTTGTAGTTTAATTCGTAAGTTTACCTCTTTTTCAGTGTTATTTCGAAACATTTGTTTTCATCGTGTATTAATTAAGTGTACTCCAGAGTAATATCTCACTAAGTTAATAAACAGAACACGAGATTTTATCATCTTATTCTTGGATTCTGGCTGTAAATGGAATTCAGGACGTCAGTCTTTGTCCTATTTCGGATTTATCTTTTAGATGTACATGCTTCCAGTTGTTGGTTTTCACACTCAGACTCCAATTCAATGCCCATCGTTTCTAACGACATCCACAAACAGTGTCCCAGTCTTATTGTGAACGTCAATGCAAATGCAGCTAAATCCATCTGACATATCTCCCATAGGACGGAAAGGTTCCCCCCTGTATTCAACTGCCATTTTCGATCGAAATATATAATAGGAACTTGTAATTACAGGTATATTATAGGCACTCATCTAGTATCCATATTACAACGTAGACTGATCAGGATCGTTCTAAATGAATACGTTTCGTCACTCTGGGCGCTTTATACACTTTTCCTAGCCACCTCCAAGTTCCCAGAAATCATCAACTCTTGAATCCTAAGAAACCATAATGCTGATATATATATATAATCATATGCTCACTAATGACCAATTAGGAGAGGTGATTCCGGAAATCCTAGTGAGAAGCTGTGACCAAAGTTCAATCTTGTCGAGTATGAGACAGATAACCACCGTTCACATCGTAAAATGGTTGCGCAAATTAGTTGATGCTAAATATGTAAACCACTAGATGCCGGCTCAATGGTTTTAGGATTTTACTTGTTGTCATACCTGAAGGTCTTGGGGTCGTCGTTACACACTTCTGAGGAGTGCCACACTAGAACCTTATATCTGTTAAGAACTTTCTAGTCTTGAGCATTTGCTTGTGATATTAACTTATATCTATCAGTTATTATTATCATAAGTAATCTAGTCAAACTGAATGTTATCCAATTTTTCTCTCAGGACAATTACTCCTCATAAATCCATCTCAACGTCCTAACATAAACGAAATTCTTGGTGAGTTATCTGAATTAGCGTCTATAAGAGAAGTTCAAGTAAGTGGTTCTATTCCTCTGTTGGAAGAAGTTGCCAAAAGACGTAATGTAAACGTTTCTGCTACTTTTACAAGCCAGCCAATCAGTAAGTAATTGTTTAAAGCATCTAAAACAACTTTAAATCTTACCTAACAAGTTCCAAATTCCGGTAGTTAATTGTATGATTTTATCTGATTTTTTCTTTTCTATTCTGTCAGACAGAAGTCAGACGAAAATTAATAACCATTTGATTCAGTATCTTAACCAGTGACTCGTATTCAGATTCCTATGTAGTCTCAGCTGTCCAGTCATTACAATCTCTTATCATAAGTGCTCGTAGAAGTCACCTCATAATGATAAGAAAATTGTGATTGTTTATTTGAAACAACAGTAAAACTGTCTTATCTGTACATTGATTTAGCATTTCCGTAATTCTTAATTAAGGTAAGTCAACATTCTAAGCCAGATTAAGTGACCACGATATGTATCAATTTTGGTAAATTGGGTGTTATGAAGTTAAGGTATTTAATATTGCTCCAGATACTTATTTCTAATAAACTGAATTAGACAACGATATGTCTTACCCACTTATATCTACATTGATATTTACCGTTTGACTATTCTCTTCAACAACCTGTTTCAATTCAATAAGTTTTGTAGATAGTTGCTGTAAAACTGAGTACATAGATGTTTACTTGGGAAATAAGCTATATACTATCATCAAATGTAAAGTATGATTATAGAATAATCAAGTAAATCAATTTGTTTACAGCTGATTGATTACTCAATAGTGATTGATGTCATATTTGTCTGGTCTTGTTGTGCTGATCAAATTCTGTTGATCAAGCTAGAATGTAGGTACTAGTTCGAGGGAATCGACATCACATTCACTGTGTTAAGATATCAGGTGGTTGTAAGTAGTCATCAGGAAATCATCATCCTAGGTTTTCTCTAGTTGGCACTCGTCAGTAAGTTGTTTCTGAAATCATGAAGTTGACATGGGTTCGAGTCCTACATAGGATACCTTGATAACGTGTGCCAACTAGCATGAATGCTAGGTTCAAGATTTTCCGGCGATTACTACTAACCACTTAACATATCACTCTATTTTCTAGAGACCTATTGTTTTGTGTTGATTATTTATCGAAAATGTTTCTTCCCCCATGAGCTTAAGATAATTGCTTTATATTAGATAAGGCATTGCTTTTAGCAGACGGTGGAGCAGCGATTTATTGGTCATAAAGCACACAGGTTTTAACCACTGAGTTTACTGCACGCTCAAATCCCGTTTTTATTTAAGTAATAGGGTAGGATATCATTACCACTCGCACCTAAAATGTAGCTCGAAATAGAAGAACAATGCACAAGTCTGTATATGATTATTAAATTATGGACAATGTAATTTATTTCCTAACAAGTTCTTTAACTATAAATTGTCATTGAAAGCATTCACAAGCCTATCATTTTGAGGATAATTTGTAAAGAAGTATTTTAAACAGTACATTTCGCAGAACATTTTAAAATAAGTGTTTTTTAAACAAAAGAAACTGATCGAATTATTCACATCAAATTTAAAAGACTTTAAAATATCGAAAATTTACTCATTCCTCTTACTTTATAGATCGTAATGATTCTAAAGCTAATGAATATCATCCGGGATCAATGCATTCAGAAAACAATGTTGTTGCAAATCCACAACTGTCATCTAATAAACCATCTAGACCTAATCCTATAACAATGCTCTCACAACAGAAATTAAATCCAACAGTTAGTTTTAATCCACCAACATCATCATCGTCATCATCACCATCAACAGTAGTCATAACAACTCAATCATCTACAGTTAATCAAATTTCAAGTAATCAACAATTATCCAATCAATCTATGAGTAATATGCTTGGTATGATTAAAGGAGGCGCTGGCAATTTAATTCGTAATATACGAGATGCATCAACTAAAGTTATCGGAACGGTTTCTACGTGAGTTCTATTTGTTATTATTATTATTATTATTATTATTATTATTATTATTTTGTTTCATTCCTACTCAAATTATAATATTTCATATTTATGTTGATAAAATTATTCCAACAATAATAATAATAGGCAATAATTAAATATCATAGTTAAGTCTTAATTTCATTGGAATATGATAGGTAATCTGCCAAAAATTCACTATTATTTTTCATTTAATCATATTATTTTATTAATGAAATTAAAGGTATTGAGGATCTTTAAATGATTAAAATGTATTGTATTAATTAATTGTATTATTTTTCTGATATCAATTCCATATTGTATGTAAAGAATTATCAGTTGATTATGTCATATTATTGCAATATATATCGATCAGTATTTGACTGGTTTCTTTGAATAGTCTTAAACTGTGTTCATCATTATCATATCATAATTGTTATTAATATTTTTTTCTGCATTTGGGAGGGGGGGTAGAGAAGCGAGAATATCGATTTCTTATCAGTTATTATCATTAAATCTCTAAGGTACATTTATAACATATGTTGATATCCATTTAATCCATTTAATTGAAGAGTCAAGTTTGAGACAATTGGTTGACATTTTTCAAATTAAGTATTCACTGTATGATTCTCATATTTTACTAGGATGTTCTGTAATTTCGTGTTTAAATACGTTCGATTTTCTCCCACTTGTATTCTTGTTCACTACAATATTTTTCAAAGCTTTAAGTATGTGTAGTTAGTTTTGATTACTGGGTTTCATCAGTTACTGATAAACATTCAGACAGGCAAATTCATGTTATTAAACTCATCTGTTGGCAATAACTAGGAAATACTTTAATCAATAATGTTAGTAATGTTTAATATGCTTTTTTCTGGGTTAACTAAACAGCCTTCAAAAAAGTAAACTGAAATTATAGTCTTTAAAAATTTCACGTACATAAGGTAAGTTATCACTTTTGATCAGTTAATGTTCATTCATGTTGGTAATACTGTGGTGTGAGCTACTGATATCGACATAAGTAGTATATATGGTGAGTAAGGAATAGAATATCTGACAGCAGAAGATTGAGAAGATCAAGAAGAGAAGAACAGAAATAAAAAGTAATTTGTGTGGAAATCCAGGAACAATGAAGTCTGAGGTAATTGAAGAACATTTTGCAAATAGTGTATCATAGCATGGTTTTTGTATTTTACCAAGTAACGTTGTAATTTGTGCTAAATACATAGTTGGTTGTCCTCACCTGTGTTCTCATTCACAACATTTGGTATCGCTGCCTCCAAGGATGAAGATTCCATGGCCGAAGGAATTCGAGGACGGAGATGTGCTGAGCTTCCTGAAGGAGTTCGAAGCTGTGGCGGAGCTGGTGGGGGTGAAGGAGCCGAAGGCGAAGACGGTGGTGCTGGGGACGCTGCTGAGAGGCAGAGCGAAAGCTGTATATGACAGCCTGGACGGTGCGGGCGGTAAGACGACATGGGAGGCAGTCACGGAGCGATTGACCGTGGAGTTCGATAGCGGTAGTGGTGGTAGTAGTATATAAATTATAGGTTGTATATAAGGATATAGTACAGGAAGGAGGAGAGATATGAAGCAATTTTAGTTTCAAGGTTTAAAGGAAGATAAAGAGTGTATACACCTACGCCATTGTGATCGATTCTGAGCCATGTCACCTAGAGTCTCCAACCATTGGTTACGATAGTCACGTGAACCCCAACCAGGTAGTCTGCATCTGCCAACATGGCTCAGACTAGAAGTTAATGACTTCAAACACTGATGCCATGTTTTGGTTTGGCCGCCCCTAACTCTCTTCCAACCATCCCCTACACTAGTCAACATTGCGCGTCGTGGTAATCGATGTTCAGGCATACGTAACACGTGGCCCAACCATCTCAGTCGATGAAGATTCATCACCTCATCAACTGATTTACCATCGTTTCCTAATACCCTGCGTCTAACCTCACTATTACTTACCCGGTTATCCCAGCAGATGCGAGCAATATTTCTAAGGCATCTGTTGTCAAATACTAGTAACTTACGAGTATCTTCTACTCTTAATGGCCATGTTTCGCAGCCGTAAAGTAGAACAGAGCGAACTGCTGCGCAGTATACTCGTCCCTTAATTGATAGACGGATATCTCGTCTTCGCCATAGGTGACGTAAGTTGGCAAAAGCCAAACGAGCTTTTCGAATCCGTGCTGAGATTTCGTCAGACACCAACCCATTAGGGCTGATCAGACTTCCAAGATAAGTGAAGTTGTCAACGCGTTCGACTACTTCACTCCCTATCCTTAGTTCAGGTGTTGACGCAGGCCAGTCCTGGAGTAACAATTTACATTTGGATGGGGAGAATCGCATCCCAAACATCCTGGCATTATTACTGAGTTCCAACAGAAGACTCTGCATTTTGCCAGCGTCTTCACCAAACAGGACTATGTCATCTGCGTATTCTAAGTCGCTTAGTGGTCCCCCTGGTAGGAGATCAATTCCTGTAAATTCAGTCGAAGAGAGTGTTATTTCCAGAAACAGGTCTATAATGAAGTTAAACAAAAATGGGGATAGTGGACAGCCTTGACGGACACCACTTGAGGTTGTAAAATCATATGACAGTTCGCCATAAGCTCTCACTCGACTGGTAGTGTTCGAGTAAAGAGTCTTCACAAGGTTTATGTACTTCTCAGGTACACCTTTCAATGACAGACACTGCCACAGTACCTCTCGGTCTACAGAGTCAAATACTGCTTTCAAGTCAAGAAAAACTATCATTGTCGGACGCTGATAAGCGTGTCTGTGCTCTAAAACTTGACGAATGGTGAATATGTGGTCGATACAGCCACGACCAGGTCTGAAGCCAGCCTGATTTTCTCGTGTTTGCAGTTCACGAGTCTTAGTTAGGCGCCCGATAATTATTGAGGCTAGTATTTTAGATGCTATGTTGGTCAGACTAATCCCTCTATGGTTATCACAGGATGATTTTGACCCCTTTTTATATATTGGGACAATCAGTGATTGTGACCAGTCGGATGGGATTACATCCGTCTCCCAGATTTTAGCCAGAATATTAGTCTACCTAATCGCTAAAATTGGACCACCATATTTAAAGACCTCTGGAGCCAATCCATCTGGACCAGCTGCTCTTCCTCGTTTCAGATTACCTATAGCCTTTTAAACTTCAAGTAGGGTCGGGGGGCCTACTTCAATGTTCCATTCAGGTTTTCTAGGAATAGTGGGTAGTTGTGCAGTAGCTGAAGGCCAGCTAAACTGCTCCTTAAAGTGTTCCGCCCATCGTTCTAAACGTTTGGGTAGAGAGCAGATAAGGGTTCCGTCTTTTTCGGAGATTGTCTCACTTACACTTGACTTCTTAATTCCGGTTTCTTTTATTAGTCTGAATAGTTGCCTGGTGTTCCCTACAGCCGCTGCCTTTTCCATCTCTTTTGCTTTTGTTGCCCACCACTGCTCACGATCGTTCCTTAGACTTTTAGTTAACCTAGATCTAATTTGTTTACGCTCTTCGTCGTGTTCAAAGCCTGATGGGATGAGTTTACGCGAATCCATCAGTGAAATAGACTTAGAAGAAATCCATTGGTTTTTTGGAGCCCTATGGTTTAAATGACTAATAGATGTAACTGCTGTTTCCACAGCTGTTCGTGTGTCTTTCCAATCAGCATCTGTGTCAGTCTTGTTTACAGAACTGCCTAGATGTGAACTCAGTTGTTTCTGGAATTCGCATTTGGCTTTCTTGTCCTCCAGTTCAATCCTAATGGGTCTACTTAGTGTACTTTTCCTGCGTCCAGTGAGGCGCAGACAAATGCGCGCTCGTATTAAAGAGTGATCAGAGTCTAAACAAGTATTCCAATACGAGCGACAATCTTCTATTGAGCCTCTCCAACGATGACTGATGACAATATGGCCTATTTGAGTCCATCGTTGGTTTGGTGAAGGTGGTCGCCATGTTAGACGATGTCTCTCCTTATGCTTAAAATTAGTGCTTGCTAAAAATAAACGATTGTCTGAGCATAGTTGCAACAGACGATAACCATTATCGGCTCGTTGAGCCGGGATACTAAAACACCCACCTAAATGTCTTTCTGTTTGATTCAAGCTGCCTACCTGGGCATTAAAGTCACCCGCTATGAGTACTATGTCTGAGCGTTTAGCTTTCTGAAGAAGCTCAGAGAGCTTTCTGTAAAAGTCATCTTTCATTTCATCATGGCTGCAGTCGGTGGGAGCGTAGGCAGAAACGACGAAAAGGCAACGACGTGTGTCCCTATCCTTCCGAGTTCCTACGGAGCCATTCAGCCGGACAGCACACAGGCGACTGTTAACGGGGATCCATTCTAGTAGTGCCTGTTCTGCCCTTGTACTTAATGCTATGCCTACACCTGCAAGTCCGCGAGAACTAGCCAACGGGTCGCCAGATACACGGAGGGTGTATTTCGTTGGCTGTCCATTTTGGTGAGGTGAGGTCAAGTGAATGACCACACTGGGATCCTGTATGCGTGTTTCGGAGACACAGCATACATCAATGGTACGAGATTCTAGGGTTTTAGCTAAGGAGGCCTGTTGACCGATTTGGCATAGGGTACGTACGTTGAAGGCTCCAATGTGTAGTTTGGAGCGAGGTTTAAGTAGACCTAGAACAGCGTTCCGCGCACTAGAATCGTTGGCCATGGTGACACTTGAGGAGGATGGCATATGTTAGAGGTATTGGGCGTGTCTAACAGTATCGTAAAAGTGGATGGTTCGGAGATAAGTTTTCCGTTCGTGGTAACCGCAAACCTGTCGAGACCAATATTAGGAGCAGATTTCCTAAGAGAAGTAAAATCCATAGTTGACCTAAGAAGCGGTAAGGTGGTCACGAAATACGGTTCATTCTCAATACATGAAAGTAGCGAGGTGGCTGAGGTTAGAGTGGCAACAGCCGTTGTGACGAAGAAACCAAACATCACCGAGTTGTGCAAAAAGTATGCGAAACTGTTTACTGGAGAAGGAGAACCGTACGGATTTTGCGACAAAGTAAAGCACGAAATCTCGATAAAGAACAATGGAGGAAGTATATTCACAACACGTCGTGTCCCTGTGCACTTAGAGGCTGAAGTAAATCGACAGGTCCAAGAGATGCTGAAAGAAGGAATAATTGAGGAGGCGGACAGCCCGTATAGCTCACCGGTACTCTTGGTAAAGAAACCGAATGGGAAATATAGATTTTGTGTTGACTTTAGAGAACTGAATAATATAACAGAACTAAAGCCGTGTGCAATGCCAACAGTAGTGGAAACATTAGATCGGCTGCAGAATGCCACGGTGTTTACAGTGTTGGATTTGCGGTCAGGTTATTGGCAGCTGCCTATAAAAGAGAGCGATCGAAGCAAGACAGCATTTACCATACGTGATAAACAATATCAATTTAGACGAATGCCGTTCGGATTGGCGGGCGCACCATTTACGTTCAGAAGATTAATGTCGCTACTGCTCAGGGATCTAGATAACGTCGAAGTGTATGGCGACGATGTAGTCGTATACAGCCAGACAGAAACAGATCATGTCAAGCATGTGGAAGCGGTCCTAAAGCGAATTGAAGAATTCGGACTTCGAATTAATAAGGACAAGTCACAGATGGCGAAAAGTAGCATCACGTTGTTGGGGCATAAAGTGGGAAATGGAGAAATAAAACCACTGCCGGAGAAAATTCTGACTATAAAGAACGTTGCAGTACCGAATTCGAAAAGGAAATTGAGACAGTTCCTGGGAAGGGCGGCGTTCTACAGTCGGTTCATCAAGAATTTCAACGAAATAGCAGCACCCCTTTATAAGTTGTTGAGTAACACTAAATTTTCGTGGACTGAAACCGCCCAACAAACGTTTAATCAAATCAAAAACATGCTGGACGACCGCCAGATGACGCTCAGACTGCCCGAACTGGAGAAACCGTTTACAGTGACAACAGACGCAAGTGACCATGGTATAGGTGCCGTTTTTAAGTCAGTCTGATAGAGTAGTGGAATACGCAAGTCGCGTTCTCACGCCTGCGGAACAGAAGTATTCAACGATCGAAAAGGAGTGTTTAGCGATTGTGTGGGCAGTAGACAAGTGGAGACCATATCTGTTAGGTAAACGATTTCACATCGAGACTGACCATAAACCTGCAGTGGCTACAAACAGCACGAGACCCACGTGGGAAGTTGGCGCGATGGATGATACGTCTGCAGGAGTATGACTTCAGTATCGGGCATGTTCCAGGGAAGGAAAATGTAATGGCGGACTATCTGTCAAGACCAGACATGGAAGCCGAGCTTCCATTGACAGCATACGCAGTGAACAGTATAGAGGGAGACCCACTAGAACTCGTCCAGCAACAGAAATCTGATCCTAAACTTCGAGAGGTAATCAGAGTGATAAGAGAGGGGGCAGATTTTGACAAACGAGCAATGGACAAGGAGGCAATAATGTTGCTTTGGCAAAAGGAAAGACTGAAAGTGAACACATATAGAGCTCTGGTCTGGCAGGATGATGACAAAAATTGGGTGGCTGTGATCCCGAAAGACTGGCGGCGTAAGATGATACACGAATGCCATCAGGTAGCGCACACAGGTATCGCAAGAACGACAGATTTACTACGGCAAAGTGCATACTGGCCAGGCATGAGAGACGATGTGGCCCAATATGTGTTGACGTGCCAGCAGTGCCAATTAATGAAAAGCGATAGATACGTGCAACCGCCATTGCAGTCGGTCCCAGTAACCGCAGTTGGTGATCTATGGTCGGTAGATGTGATGGGACCATTTCCACAGACGGATAGCGGCAACCGATACTTACTAGTAATGACGGAACATGCTACACGATGGGTCGACGCTGAACCGATTGCCGACCAGCGGGCGAAAACAGTGACCGAAGTAATAATCCAGCACATTGTAGCAGGTCATGGAGTACCGAAGATGATACTAACCGACCAGGGTCCCTGTTTTGAAAGTGACGAGTTTAAGGCCCGTTTGAAGCAGTTCGGTATCAAGAGGATACGAACTACACCGTATCACCCTCAGACGAATGGGCTTACGGAAAGAAACAACCGGACTTTAAAGGAATGGTTAGCATCTAAAGGAGGGAATTGGGAGAAAGAGTTACCACTAATTTTGCTGGCGCATCGTGCCTGCATCCAAGGAACAACTAAGAAATCACCTTTCCTACTTATGTATGGTAGACAGCCACGACTTCCGATGCATAATAAGACGTGGCCACAGCAGCAGAAGTGGACGGCAACAAGATTAAGGAAAGAGAGGACGGAGGCAATAAAGAACGTGAAAAAGAAACAAATATCAGACACCGAGAAGGCGGAACAGCAGAGAAGAGCATGGAAGCCTTTTAGAGTGGGGGACCTGGTAAAGTGTAGAGAACGGAGAGCTAATACTGAAGGGGGACCAGGGTCAGGAAAGCTGACCCCGAAATGGGAGGGGCCGTACATTATCACGGAGAGACGCGGCCCAGTTTACACGATCCGGAGAGAAGACAAGCAGAAGCGTGTAAATGCCAGTCAACTACAGAGATGGTTTCGGGAACATCATGAGCACGAGTCACGAACAGCACCAAAGGAGACAATGGTACGGCGATCAGAAAGATTGCGAGAACAGCTTATTAAAAGGGGGGACGAGTGTGGTGTGAGCTACTGATATCGACATAAGTAGTATATATGGTGAATAAGGAATAGAATATCTGACAGCAGAAGATTGAGAAGATCAAGAAGAGAAGAACAGAAATAAAAAGTAATTTGTGTGGAAATCCAGGAACAATGAAGTCTGAGGTAATTGAAGAACATTTTGCAAATAGTGTATCATAGCATGGTTTTTGTATTTTACCAAGTAACGTTGTAATTTGTGCTAAATACATAGTTGGTTGTCCTCACCTGTGTTCTCATTCACAACAATACGAGTGATCTTATTGTTTCAACAATAGTTTTGAATACTTGTATCCTAGTTTTATACAACTATCATTCGTTCCACGGTGGTGTTTGTCTGGGCTGTCCACTCTCTCCATTCTTGTTTAACTTTGTCGTTGACATACTTTTAGAGATAACACTTTCACCAGCTAAACCTCCAGGAGTGGAACTTTTACCGGGAGGCTCACTTGTTGACTTAGAATACGCCGACGACATAGTTTTACTCGGTGAAGACGCTGACAACATGCAGAGTCTTCTGACCACTATAAGCAACTATGCAGGCATGTTCGGGATGCGATTCTCTCCCTCGAAGTGCAAAATGTTACTTCAGGATTGGGTTGCATCGACACCTGAACTAATGATAGGCAGTGAAGTAGATGAGCGTGTTGACAGCTTCACTTATCTTGGGAGTCTCATCAGCCCTTGTGGTCTGGTGTGTGACGAAATCTCAGCACGGATACAGAAGGCTCGTCTAGCTTTCCCAAAATTGCATCATTTATGGCGTAGGCGAGATATCCGTCTAGCAACCAAAGGACGGGTTTACTGTGCAGCAGTTCGTTCCGTCCTACTTTATGGCAATGAAACATGGCCGACAAGAGTAGAGGATATTCGTAGGCTACTAGTGTTCGATCATAGGTGTCTTCAATGCATTGCTCGTATATCCTGGGACCACCGGGTAAGTAATGCAGATGTTAGGAAACAGGTAGTAGGTAAGGATGGCAAATCGATTAATAAAGTAGTGAAACTTCATCAGTTGAGATGGCTGGGACATGTGTTACGTATGCCCAACCACCGACTGCCCCGACGTGCAATGCTTTATGGTGTAGGAGAAGGTTGGAAGAAAGCTAGGGGCGGCCAGACCAAAACATGGCATAAATCCATGAAGTCACTGACAAGTGGACTGAGCCATGTTGGTAGGTGTAAACTACCTGGTTGGGATTCGCGAGATGATAGCAACCGATGGTTAGAGACCTTGAATGACATGGCTCAAAATCGTTTGCAATGGTGAAGGTGCATCCACTCTTTGTGTTCTACCAAATTCTAATCTTCTGAATTCTTCATGTCCGTATCTTTTTTCTCTTTCCAAATTTATTCCACTGTATTATACTCTTTCAATAACATCTTCAAACCCTTATATTTCACATAATACTTATACTCTTACTAATTCTACCAATATGGGATTTGAATCGACAACTTCATCTCTGTGCTAATGTGGTATGACAACTCGAATTGATGTACGTACGTACGTACGAAGTTCTACGTTGTTGCTGTCTTACTGACGTTCCACAGTGCCATCAACTGACTTTCCTCTTTTTTCCATCCAGTTTTAAGATCAGGACAGTGCATAATGTAAAATTTACTGAAGTTACATGGGTAAAACGTACCCAAAGCTGGTGTTTTAAAACAATTTCATCAGTCAGAATTATATCACTATGCTCCAACACACAGTACCCCGATTTAGGTATGACTTACACGGTGTTATCATCTGATTTGAACAATTCCTTAGAGACTGATGATTAAGCATAGAGAGAGCCACTAAACATACTAAACTTAGCGGAGGTTAGAATAGACCTATTTTCACTGATTTATATACCCGACCTTTTAGACTCACATTAACATTACGTCGGCCTATCAGTCAATAAATCAAACTTCTGTTTTTTCAGTTTGTAGGTGGTAACGTTGCCTATAAACTTTTTTTTATTAATATTTTTATAACTGACATTTAATAATTTACTCAACTTTTGTGTTTAGTAATAATGTCTCTTATTTATTAATTATTTATTAATTTATATTGTTATTTATACTGTTAGGTTATAATAAAAGCATTTTATATATATTGTTCTATCAAAGCATCCCCCTACTTTTGTACATTTATCTTTCAGCACGTTGAATACAGAGCTTGATTTCCAGTTTATCACTTCACGTATAGCAGGTTAGTAATCGTTTATTATTCTACTCACTGTAATGTATTAGTGTTAATATTTTATGGAGGGTTCTATAAGGTTCATACTTAACCGTCTCATTGTTGTTGCTAGCTATTGCGAATTTGTTCACGTTTATGTAATCTTAACAGCATCCATGATCAGGTTTACATACAAAAGTGCAGTGTTTCATAAAATTTGTATCCATCTACCCATCACCTTCAGTGTGTTGTATAATCCCTCATTCACATAAGATCCCTGTTGGTAAAGTAAAGAATATCTCGCTGCCAGGCATCTGATACCGTCAATAATTAAGTTTGGATTCATGTTTATTATGAATTCTCAATTGTGTTTTCTTTCTCCAGTGATGCTGTGATTGTATTTTTCTGGTTACAGTCAAATACTTACCTAGTACGAATACAATTTTCAATTGTTTTCTAACACCATTTTTCAGCAAGAATGAACTTGAAATTTACTGCACATTTTCTCACTTTGGTTATTATAGTGTAAATACCACTGATCAAGAGCAGTTAAGGTGCAATAGATTTTCATTTAGAATCATTGTCCGAAGACTAAGATACTGCTTGAGTACCTAAATTGAAATAGTTGGAGCGGGACCTTGATATTTAATCAGTTATCGAATGACTGGTTTTCAAATAACTGATCCACTACTCCAACTTAAGTCTACTTAATTGCAAGTGAATTGTGTAGCTTATGTGATTATAATTTTGTCATGTATGTCATTGCCATAAAATTTAATTTCGTTTTTCATATGTCTGGTACATGAACGCTTGATATTGACTTTTAACTACTAATTGGTATTATAGAATCTAGTAGACTTGAATCTGAGATGGAAGTCAAGGATGGGAAAGGTGGAAAAACCTTTGCTTTCGAGGCTAGGGTTAGGTATAAAAGCAGCTATATATATATATATATATATATATATATATATATATATATATATATATCTTGAATTCGTTGAGTTTGTCAGTATCTGGAAGGAGGGCTGTGTTGATAATCAGGTCCTATTCTGGGCACGTAGCTATGATTGATTGCAGCCTCGAGTAGAACTGGTCTTTAATGTCATCATTGCTATCATTGGTGCATGCATTACATTGGATAACATTCATTTTGATTCCCTCCTTTGTTTTGAGTGATGCTTTGATGATCCTTACCCATGAGATTCGTACCCAATTAGCTCATTTTGTGCTTCTTTGGACAGCATCAGAATGTGTGAAGCATTTCTCTTTCTCGTATATAGCCTTTGCTGTCCATCCTGGGTCCAATGGGTTTCGCTGATCCCAAGTACCGCCAATTTGTATCTCCTTATTTCCGTAGTTATTTGATTGGGCGTTCCAGTCTCCCACATTATCCGACCATTCCATGTACCTATATAAATTTTTGCTCCGGTTGTTAAAAGGGTTATCAGCTTCGTGACTTCCGAAGAATCTCTGCTTTGATCATGAGGCGTTATAATTCTTCCTTCAACTCGGTGGCAGAGTTTATATGTTTTAAATTGTTTATCCTATTTAGCTGCTTTTAGCAATGTTTTTTTCTACGGGATGGTTTGCCGTCCTTATGCCTGCCATCCTCCTTTACCCGGGCTTTGAACCGACAGTAAGTCTAGAAGAGCTGCAGGTTGAGTTCCGAAACGACAGAATAAGCCATAATTCAATAAGATGTCAAAAACGCTGTAATCGCTTGATTCGGAATCCCATCTCTTCTTCGTTTCAACATAGCCTATTTTTCCTGACCGTTAAAAAAGTATGGTTGATAAGGTGAACAGGTTGTAAACGATTAGTCCCTTTCTCTTCGCAGGACTGTCTAAAATAGTCTAAAATAATTAGAAACTATGGTTTGTGATACTTCGACACCTGTGTTTAATACAATTTCAGGAATTTCGCTTATTTAATGGTCCGAGTTAAGGATAATTAGATTTGCATTAATGATTCTTGTTGTCCCTCTGTTTGTTTTCAAATATCGTGTGATGGAAAATCTAATCTTAAAAATCGCCCTATAACTCAAATATACCTATTTAATCATAGAACAGTTTATTCGGCAAATGAATCCTTTTCAACGAGTTCATTTTCAAGGCTGTGTAATTGTATGTTTACATATCTTATAAGTAATTGTGTGTCCGTTTGAATTTGATTAGCTGTTGTTTGAAACTTGACTACATCTTTTTAAATAAACAAATTGCTATTGAAACATGATAAATACACAACCCGATGGAAAATGTATCTGTTAGTATCGTTGAGATGAATGATAACTAAGATATCCGTGTAGAAACAGTATTTGTTATAATAATGATAGAAAAAGAAGATAAATGAGAATCATCTTTACAAACTCAGAAATGAACAATGAAAAGAGAAGGAACATATAAATAAATAAAATAAAAACTCAAATTACGACCATATTAAAGAGCGGGACCTAATAAATTGTTTTGTACTCACAAAATCGTGGATGTCTAAAGCTTTCCTCCTTACAAAGTAAGTTAAGAACAATATAGTTAACTGAATTCTACCTAGATATCTTAGTTATTACTCTCAAATCATCATTTCAATTGAATTATACAGTTTTACTTCCTACCCTATTGATTTGTTATAAGCCCATTTAGCTATTTTATTATTTGTCTACTTGCTGTTATTTAGATTTTTGACTCCCTATGTGAGCTTAAATGTGAGTCTGATTGAGCGCATGCCACTACGGCAATCTTAATCTACCCTCTCATTGGTTGTGAACACAGAGAATCAATAATTTATCCACAATCGATTAACACTCATAACTTTGTATGGATTTTTAATACTCACATACACTTTCTCATCGATTTCCCTGTGTGCTTGCTGTCTGCGCGCTTGCAGATTTTTATTTATTTTATTTAAACACATAAATATTGGTACAAGGAAGCACCAGATAAATATGCGCCTCACAAATCTCATTCGATTTGTGTGAGGGCTGAGATACTGCCCAGGTGCCCAGACTGAAGCAGGTGGTTTTCTTAGGGGGCCACACCCGGAGCCTTTGACCTAAAGGTCTAATCCACAAGACAGTGGAGCATCGTAAGGAGATGCAGTCCCATGGTTACCGGTGACCAACGATTGGTTCTTACGCCATTTGTCCCCTTAGGATACTGGCAGGCGAGCATTCTACCATTTGCCTCCAAATGCCCTGGTACGGCGGAGAGTGGGGGAGAGTCTGCTCTCCCTCTCCAAATGCTCTCATATGGCCACGCCAATATATAGCCTCTGTCAGGGAAGTCCTACTCACTGCCTTCTCGTGGCTGGGGTGTTGTTCACAAATGTGAGAGGACGAAAAGCGAATGTCCGGCGCCTTAACCAGGTTGGTGGATGTGGAGGATCCACCTAGGGGAGTTGGAAAACCCTGATTCCAAACCAATGGTGCACATGGGCTCCAGTATCCTGATGGAACAAATGGCGTATGAACCAATCGTCGGTCACCGGCTACCATGAGACTGCATCTCCTTACGATGCCCCACTGCCTTGTGGACTAGACCTTCAAGTCAAAGGCTTCGGGTGTGGCTGCCTAAGAAAACCACCTGCTTAATTTTGGGCACCTGGGCAGTATCTCAGCCCTCAAGCAAATCGAATGAGATTTGTGAGGCGCATATTTATCTGGTGCTTCTTTGTACGAATATTTATGTGTTTAAGTAAATAAATAAAATAAAATTAGGATACTAGAGCTCATGTGCACCTTTGGTTTGGAATCAGGGTTTTCCAACTCCCCTAGGTGAACTTACCGTGTCTACCAACCCGGTTTAAGCGCCGGTAGTGAGTAGGACTTCCCTGACAGAGGCTATATATTCGCATGGCTATGTGAGAGTATTTCGAGAGGGAGAGCGGGCTCTCTCCACTCTCGGCCGTACCAGGGCATTCGGGGGCAGATTGCGGATTTTTACTAATCATTAACAATAAACTATCTCTACAACTGATGTTCTCGCTTTTGAATAATCTCCAGTAAATTCATAATTCGACTAGGAGATTCGGCCAGTGTAAATACTCAGGATATTATTTATTGGTGTCCGATATAGAGAAAATTAGCCTTTATAGATTATAAAACTCATGATTTACCTATAAGTTATAGTTGTCAATGCGATACCAAGTAATAAATATTTACTTAATCGACCTACATTAGTCTAAACACACGAAGATTACTCACTGACGATCTTTATATAATGAATCTGATTAAATGTTTATAATATATATAATTGAAATCACGAAGTGATCTAAGTTAAACATCTATTAATAACCTGGAAGCACTGAACGGCCACTTCCTCAACAGTAAAGAGCCGTAACCAGTTAAGTTCAGCAACCGTTTCGGGTGTGAGGAAGATATCCGCCGAAGACAATGAAAGATGATCGTGCTATTTCACTGGTTGATTGAAACTAGACTTTTATACCATTGGATTCTGACTTAATGGTTTAGAGACTAGGCGTTCGTGTGTGAGTACAAAGTACCTGGGGTTGATTTCTGATGGTACAGTCATGGATACGTACTACTGGAGAATCAAATACTAAAACGAAACAGTTCTTTACACTACCAGGGTTCCAATGGTGGTCTAAATGAGTTCGGTTCATAATATTAATGAGATTTAACAATTTCCTCAACCCGATGGCAATGTCTGTAAAAAATATGTGTTTTTGCTTTTCAACTTAATTCATTTTTTTGTACAAATTTACTAAAATAGATATTGTTCTTTATGCTTTAGTTACATCTTTCCCTATTGAAAGTGGATTTGAAGTGCTTGCTAACGTGAATTCTATTGAAGAGGTGCAAAATATGCTAGATACACGTTTTCAAGATGCTTATGCCGTGTATAATCTTAGTAATCGTCCATATCGTTCAGATCATTGGTTTCATGGTAGAGTATCACATCGTGGTTTCGAAGCACACCGTGCTCCTACGCTAAAATCATTAATTGAATTATGCTTGAATGCAAGGTTATGGTTAGCTCAAAAGTCGAATAATATTTGTGTTATACATTGTACTGATGGTAAAACATTATCCGCCGTATTAGCATGTTCCTTATTATGCTTTTGTCGGGTATTTGATAACGCATCACATGCAATTCAATTGTTTGCATCGAAACGTGGCAATCCTGGTTTGAATGCATCACAGATTAGGTATAAGCTATTCTTTCTAATCTTTGTTCCTGTAATAATAGTGTTTTCTGTATATGTTACACGTTAAATTGTTATTAATTATCTTATCTTAGAATTTCAAAGATCTAATGAATTATAATCAAACTAACTATATTTCTTATTATTTCAGGATTTCATGTAATAAAAAGGAAATGAGTGTGATTAATTAACTCAATACTGTCAGTCGATTAGCTTAATGACAAACATACAAAGTAATAAACTAGATAATCAAAATCTAGGATAAAAACCCATCAATTTTAAACTCTTACAAACAAGAATAATAATTGGAATCTATGGATTCGAATAATTGTCAACAAATTTATAATAACAGCATTTATGATGTTAAATCATATATTTATTTACAATTTCCCACCCGTAGATTCAAAGAGGTTTCATTTTAGTTTGAGACAATTAGTTAGAAACTTTGTATTCTAATTATATTCACTACATGATCATTCGAGATTTAATTCTTATTAAATTACATTTTTCAACCACTCTCAGCGCTGGCAAATAAAGTATGTTGTGAAAGTTGCTGGGACGATGTTTGTGGCACATCTTCATTCCACCGAAGCCAGTGCTTCAAGATTGCGACACCAAGTGATTTATCGTCAATGTACCCGCATACAAATTGCTAAACATCCTCGTTACGGACATGTTCTTGATACACGATAGACATCTCTTTACTTTCCCAATTTCACTGACTTGATAAGAATGATGGTATTTTCTGATGGGAATTGTTTGGGAGTCAAATGACTGGTCAATTCGGCTTTTTAAAAAAGATTATTTATGGTAATCATAGACTAACACGCTAGCTGACAAAGCAGTGACCAATGGCAGTTCCATCAGAGTACATGACGTCTTAATCATACATACACTTGTTTGTTTATGTGATAACGGAAACTACCTTCGAACTAAACCAATCTCTACAAAAAAAAACTATCGGTTAAAAAGGTTTTTCTAGTGAGTGTTTATTTTAAGACTACTATTCAATCTAAATGACACATCATGTTTAAATTATTCCCTACATTTCCATGGATATTTATTTTATGCCACTCATTGTCTGATTTGATTGCTTTATTTAATGAACGTATGTAACTAAATCAATTGAATTAACTCTGATCGGTTTTGTTTTTATGTTTTTCTACTTATTCATGCAGATATATTAACTATGTAGCTCAGTTAAGTCATAATCGTGCATTTACACCTCATCATTTTCCATTGAATCTTATCAGTTTGATAATTGCACCGGTACCGACATTTAATAAGTCCAAGTAAGTACTCTGTTCATTCGTTCATGTTACATTGTGTGTGTCTTTAATTGCTTTCGTGTTGATTGTCAGTGAATGACATATATATATATATATATATATATATATATATATATATATATATATATATCCTAAGTGTATTGTAGTTGGTGTTGAACTGTCAATGAGTTTGTACCTGTTTTCTGTTACCACTTTCATGTACTTAGATCAGGAATAATTGGGTTTTTTTAGTTTGGTGTTTCCAATAAGACGATTTTTTGTTTCGTTATTATGTTTTAATAATCATTAATTAACATGGATTATGTATACCACTTTGTTTTATTGTTGTCAATTCTAACTCATTATTATTGGTACTTTTTTGATTGATGGATTTCAACTCAGTCAAATGATCTTAATACACTAAACTTTTGACTGAATCTATTTAACATCCTCGTTGACTTTGGTAAAAAAAATAGTTATTGTAATAGTTAGATAAATTTTATTAAGTTAGGTGACTAACAGTTGAATCCATGATTCACTTTCTGTTTTATTTTCGACTCATCATCTGCGTGTATCTGGATCCCTACGTTGATGTTTCCATTGATACTCGAACTCAGTTCTTTTCACTTCGAACTTCAATGCGTTATTCGCTGAACAACATCAACAGATGGATACAAACTTTTACAATTGGTATCAGTTTCATTACGAACTGAAGATTGAAAATTTAATACATTAACTCTAAAAACAATGCTAATAATAGTAATTTTCTTGATTATAAAAATTGTACTTGTTTTTCTTGGAAATAATTCAGAAATGGATGTCGACCGTATGTGGAAATATTTGAAGGGAAGACCAAAGTGTACTCAACTTACGCAGATTACGATAATTTAAGGTAGTGATTATTATTATTATTGTTATTATTATTATCTATATATTTATCTTAATTATAAGCAGAGATAGTGACTCCTGAGTCCGTATAGCTAGTAACTTGTGGAATGGAGTGGAGTTTAATTCACTTGTATCGATTGTTTGAATCTTCCCTTTGGTATGTAGGACAGTGCCATTCACAGAGGATACGCATATGCCAGAAGTGAATGATCATTTATAGTCCTAAACATCACTGAGAAGATTCAAACAACCGATTCGAATGTATTTCATTAATAGACCACCTTGTTGAAAACTTTAGTTTTTGTTTATTATTATCAATGTATTTATCAATATATTCTTTATATAAAATACAAATTGTTTATTCGTACGATAACCGTGTTTAAAAGGTAGAAAACTAAGAAAACCACTGTGATTATTATGGTTCATCTAGTGAGTATCATCAATGTTATTGTCAGCTAAGTAAAATGACGAATGTTTTGATTCGGGACAGAGATTCAAACATTCTAAAAACAAAATTTGACAAAGTTGAAACATAAATTACTTTCTTCAAAACAGGGGAACAACAGGAAGGAAATGCGTAGAAAACATCGAGGCGATTAATGTTGGCTGGATTTTTACGTCTTAGTTATGAGCAACATAGTAATCGACATAGTTGTGCACCCTTCTAAGTTATCACATCTTACATATGTTAAGCAAGTGACAATAAATGAGATTAAGGATGATTAAGGTTCTCCACCATACTTGAGCAATTTTTCTAAGATATTTGTTTTATTGGGTACAAGCAGTCTACTGCTCTTACTACTACAAACCTCACTTTACAACCATAAAGAAATACTACATCGTATACTCATTGTTTGATAGCCAGACGGACACATCTTGTTTGAAGTGCAGATATTACAAGTTTAACGAAGAATGAAATCAAGTCAGCTATCAATCCATCGGGGCTGATGAAATCTGCACGATAAGGAAAATGGTCAATAGGATCAATTATTCCATAACCCATGACCAAATTAGGTAAAGACACAAACCGATCGCGAAGCAATATGGTACATTTAAAAAGAAGGGAATGCATTCTAAATACTTTCAAAGAACTGCTACATTTTGTCAGTATTTTTTCTAATTAGGACTGTGTCATCTGAATATACTAATTCGATACACCATAACGGTAGGTTATTAAGTAGTAAATTAATGTAACCTTGATGAAGTGAATTTCTGTATACTTCACTTAGAATCACACTGTGTTTGGATAGTGATTCTACCTTTCCCCTCAGATTGAACTGTAATGTAGCATTTTAAGTTGTAACATTGTAGTTGTTTTCTAACAACTATAGTAAATTAGACTTTCTGGTCCATCAGGTTCTGATTATGTGTTTTGTATGTATGCAAACATTTACACTAATGAGTGTAATTTTATTTCCAACTCACTGATTACGTTGATATCATTTATAAATGAATGACGATTATTCCTGTGCATCTGTTGATATCGATAAAAAAGATAATAAATCTCGCTTTCTTTTCTTCTTTTGTTGCGTCCTAAACAATATTTTAAAAACGATAACTTATTTCCGTCAAGAGGCTGATACTTTAACTATTGTGTAGAACAATAAAGTCAACACATTAGTTAAGCTCAGTACACAGTAAATTTAAGATAACTTTTTGTGAGACCTAGTAATAATACCTAGTGTTTCAAACCGTTTTAGTCTGAATCAGCAAATTAGTGGTTGACAATCAAATGATCGAACTCCTTTGAGGCAACAGATAGACTGACAACATACATCTTATTAGTTTTGACTTCCACATGTTTTTAGAATAATAAATTGTACATATTTTGTTTGTCTTTATTTTATAATAGATCCTATGTTCTTGAAGATGGGAAGATCCAAATACTTTTGAATGGATTGACTGTTTTAGGTGATCTCACAGTTATCATTTATCATTGTCGATCTGCATTTGCTGGACGTGACAAGGTAATATTTATCCTATTTACTTTTATACCCTTTTGTTCACAAATATTGCTATCTATGTTTCATGTTCTTTCTACTTGAAAAATTCAGTTACTGCCAGCCGTAATTTTTCTTTTGAGGCAATTATTCGTTTTACTCTTAAACTCACTGGAAATTTCGCTTTGAAATATAATCCATCCATTGTTTTCAATATCATTTGAAAGTACTATTTTATAGTTGTATAATGATCAATTTTCAAATAATCTATTCTTTAGCGTAGATCAAATCGACTTTCTGAATACTTGGATTAGGTTTGCATCGTTTGACAGCATACTTATTTCGTGTTCAAATTGTTTGCATACTGCCAAATTGTGAGATGGTAGTATTTTCTGAGGTTTGGTTTGAGGTAAATTTAACAGTGAATGATACTGTTTAACTGTAGAAATTTTTATTGTTCTAAAGAAGTAAATACAATTTGTCCCGTCAAAAGTAATGAATTCTTTTTATGCAAATTAGCTTAGTTTACAAATTTTAGAAGAAATCTTATCAAGAAGTTACTTGTATTATACTATCCAGAATGATGTATTAAACATTATCGCCTCATTAAGTCTAAAGAAATGGGACTAATTTATAAATAACTTGTTGTTATGTTTTGTTATCGGGATTCAGTACGGCTTACGATATTACAGATTTAGCGACGAAAACGTCTGAGCTTCTCTAATACTATCGGTCCTCTTCGGAACTGACAACAGTCAATTATACTCAATACATCAAACCTCGACGGCCAAGACAGGAAGAAGACGGAATTGCAGTTAACTTGATACTTGTGGTAGAACAAGCAACTCAAACGAAATTGGTACAAAAGTTGTTACTATATTAACAGAATATGACCTTGGAGCATGTAGCAATTTAGCGAACTAAAAGAATATGATTATCAATCAGAGGGCAAAGGTCATGCGGAAAATCGAATCGATAGAAAGTATATAAGCGGTTGTTGTTTCAGAAGAGATCTTAGCGTTTCTAATAAAGTATGACTATTCTTGTAACCTTAGCACTTATTCAATATTAAATACTTTTTTGTTAAGCTAAATTAGATAATAGTTGTGACACATTCATCGCATTCACTGTTGTTCAGTTGATTCTAACATTGTCTACATTGGTACTTACTAGCTCATTCCATTGTGAATGAATAAAATTATTATCAAACATTAGTATTGCTGAGAATGAAAAAGTTAGAACTACCGTAAGGGATAGATAGAATGTGTAAGTACGCTCTGATTACTGTTAGCCTTTAGAAAGTGTTCTACCTAAAGTACTTCCAGTTTTTGGGGACGGAATAGTTGTGTTGACTTCAGCGACCTAACCGGTACCCTAACTTCTGGTCAACTCATAATATATCCCTTCATTCTTGTTTTGATCGACGCTATCTGTTATCAAATTGATATTAGTAACACTAGGCTGATTGAACATGTAATTCAACTTATTTGGTTCTGTAATGAAATCTTTTTTGTTTTAATCATTATTACATTTTGTTAGTTTACTTACTGTTAACTAATAATTGATTGAGCAAAGTGTACCGACTTGCCTTTTTTTTGCACATCTGTACCAAATAAGTTCATAAATTACAAATTCTGTTATTTTTCTATATTTATAAATTCCTACTTAAAATTCCAAATAGTTCATGACATTTTATCATGAACTGATCGGACCAGCTAGTGTATGAATAAATTGAAACATTTAGTATTTATTCTACACTCATCACTATTCAAAAGATTAGCTTTATTTGAAAAAAACTTACAATTGAATGGTAACAATCCAATAGTTAATTGTCCAACTAGTTGACCATCACAACTACCCACTATCGAATTATCATATAAACATATTTTTATTATATCTCATGATTATATAAGGTAATCTTGTTTAACTGAATAACTGAAATCTTTAATCTTTTTAACTAATCAGCTTCATTTCATGAAAAGCCAGATCAGAATATAAGGTTACATTGTTACACAAGATTAATTACTTCAATATCTTTCACATTTGTGTATACACTCGTCAAACTATATCAATCCAAGTTAATTAGAATGACAATTATTTTTACCTTATGAATCAATCATCAACTCGGTCTACTTTGCCTAACATATTGATATAATTTATTATTTATTCTGTAAATTAATAGTTTCTTGTTATGATTTGCTTTTAAATAAATTATTGGTTATTAGATAATTATAATTAAAGCATAGTATGGAAAAACGAAACAATCAGAGTACAGGAAATTGTTTCTCGAGTTTTGTGCCAAATTTAAAAGTTCAATGGATTTAATTCCCCCAAATGCCCTGGTACGGCCGAGAGTAGGGGGAGTCACCTCTCCCTCTCCAAATGCTCTCATATGGCCACGCCAATATATAGCCTCTGTCAGGGAAGTCCTACTCACTGCCTTCTCGTGGCTTGGGTGTAGTTCACAAATGTGAGAGGACGAAAAGCGAATGTCCGGCGCTTTAACCGGGCTGGTGGATGTGGAGGATCTACCTAGGGGAGTTGGAAAACCCTGATTCCAAACCAATGGTGCACATGGGCTCCAGTATCCTGATGGAACAAATGGCGTATGAACCAATCGTCGGTCACCGGCTACCATGAGACTACATCTCCTTACGATGCCCCACTGCCTTGTGGACTAGACCTTCAAGTCAAAGGCTTCGGGTGTGGCTGCCTAAGAAAACCACCTGCTTAATTTTGGGCACCTGGGCAGTATCTCAGCCCTCAAGCAAATCGAATGAGATTTGTGAGGCGCATATTTATCTGGTGCTTCTTTGTACGAATATTTATGTGTTTAAATAAATAAATAAGTACAGTAGAAATGTCTTCTATCTAATGTTCAGAATACTGAAATTTGTTTAGGTAAAATTCTTCTTTTTCTTCGTAGAGTGAGAATAACAATACTAAACTTACAAACTGCTCTCAATATTTTATTTATCAATTTTACAAAAAACAATCACTTTTTGTCACGATTTATTTTGATTATGGCACATTTTTCAAAGAAATTTTATTATTGATTAACTGAATTATAAATTGATAGGCTAATATAATAGGAACGCTAAAATAGATAACGATTTACTCGCGTGAACTGTTTACGTCGATATGGTGACGATCATGGGTGACTCACAGTTTCATCTCTTTAACCTGAATAAATTGATCAATAAAGATTTTGTAGGCAAAGATAAACGTATACTCTAAAATTTTTTAAGGCTATGAGAAAAATTCAAAAGTTCACCCGTTAGCTTGAATAAATTCCCACTGAGAATAATGCCATTCTATATAATGATACTTCTACAAAATTGTTAACAAACCATAGAAAATTAATGAACTTTATAAAATATCACTAACAGCCTTCACTACTTATTTTGTAAAATACACAGAATCTATGCTGATTTACTGAATAATGACTTCAAGTTACATAGTCATTTTGTGAGTTGTTCAGGCTCGTTTATATGTTAAACTTTTACCATACCTATATTAATTCAGACTTATTATTGTTATATCATAAACTTGCATCTTTTTTTTCGTTGAAAAAAGTGTATGTTGTCACTGAAATACGTGGATTTGTATTGTTCCTTTTACATTATTTTGTTATAGATCAGTTCAGTAAAGATTGCTCAGTTTCAATTACACACTGGATTTGTAGAACATAATTTAACTGAACTAATTTATTTCAAGTAAGTCATATATATATATATATATATATATATATATATATATATATATATATCAATAAAAGGTGTTGCATAGTAATAAATTGCTAATCAATGATTTCAGGAAGTGATTTTTTTTATTTTACTCAATATTTGATTTCTTAAAAAAGTGCATTCCTTCAATCTTCTCTCTACGTGTATAATATCAAATGTGTAAATGTAGGTTTTTCTACGTAATAATATTAAGTTGTTAAGATGGTAATTGTTATAAACGGTAGAATACTAGCTATAACGCTAGGGTTTCTTGTTATAACAGTCCTTTCACTTTTTACACGTATGTGGGACGTTAATTTACCTTAGACGAATTCTACACTAGATTCCCTCCCAGTGTATATTCTACAGGACTTCAACACAACTCAGATCAAGAACACGAGATTAGCCTGACTAGAACGTCAATATATTTCCACACCAAAATCCGACACAATCCAACAACGAAGAACGGTTAATCAATAGTAATAATAAGGATAGTGGTATATATAACACATATAACACCTGTCACACTATCTACATGTCTGACTCAGCAAAACAACCAATCGTTATCATGCTCGCCCACAAATCAATAATCTTTAAGTGAAACAATGCATATCTGCTAAAGCTCTTGTACTATTACTCACATTTATTGGCAATGTAATGTCAATTGTGCTCAAGTCTAATGGCATGAAGACTCCAAGGATGGAAGTAACCTTTAGCGGTTTTAAATTAACTAATTAAATGTCAACTTTTGTCCCAGTTTTAGCTTTATTTCACTATTCAACTTTTAATAGAAACAAAATTTTCATTCAGAAAAATAAATGCTACACAATAACTTGATGGGGAATATCTCTCATTGAGAGACAATTTATGTACTGTTGAGATGAAAAAATCGCCGGCTTTTTAAGTATACACTAGTTGACAAATATCTTGATGTTCATCTATTTTTTCTTACTGTCATTAAATTCATTATATATATACCAAATTTCGAAATGAAAATGCCTGTTTTGTTTCGGTTTCGAATCTTCTATTGCATAAGGATATAATTTAGACAGTGCAAAATGATAAATAAATCTCTATCTGTAATCATTCTTATCCCACTTCCTATCAGTTTTTCTTCATTACACTTCGGCCTCATTGAATTTAAAATGATTCGGTAGCACTTTTGTAGACTTTACTTATCTACAGTAAATTTAATTAAATAGAAGGAAGCGAGCCGATGTAAGCTGTTATTATGACTGTTTGTAAACGACAATGTAATTTCATTTAAACATTTCACATAGATAATGCTAATCATAGTCGGCACATCTTCCACAAAGTTAAGCGCAATGTGCTTTTTTGTCCTGAATTCTTGAATTTCTGCAGGTAGCAAATATCAACCGATTAATTTTCTGTTTTCACTGATTTCTGACAATAAGTACTTCATTATCGCTTTCATTATGTCCACTTTATCTTTAACCTTATCGATGGCTTATTGAAGACTGCTGACGACATGTATGCTGCCCTTGGTTTCCACTGATTTTTCATCTTCAGATCATTTTGTGACAGAAAGTAATATTTACAGTTTACAATTTTCTTTAAAAACACTATCTAAACAAATACTTTTTTTCATGTCTTGGATTTGTATACCACTACGTATTGATTTTTCATTCGCAAAAGTATTTCCCCCTATGCATCATTGCATATTGCTTTTTGATTTTTCCTAATTTCTCTTCAATAGATCCGATTTAGATCATCTGGATAATAGTAGCAGCTTTGCCGGTTTCACTAGTCGCTATGCTGAAAGTTTTCATGTTACATTGGAATTTATGGTTTCACCAACTGAAAGACCAAGACAAAGTGACAATCTTGTTTATCCATGGGAAACTCTGCCATCAAATGATCTCCTTAGTCCTAAACTCTGTGTATCAAATCATGATGAACTAAAAGATATATTATCTGATTACGGTAAATAAAAATACATAGTATGGTTTTATGTGTAAACATTTGTCGAAGTTGTACTGTGTTTATATTGTATTATTTTTAAAATGATGATCATTGATACTGTCCTTGAGGAAAATGAATTCAATCTGTTATAATTTCTTTTGCTACGACCCAGCTGTTCCTATTTCTTAGTATTCTTGGACATCAATTCACTCGACAAGTCCCCAAACCAGAACACTGCTGAACAGGAAAGAAGTTATATTCCGAATAATAAGGGATAGATGGGAGTAAGAAACACAAGAAGAGATAGTATAGTATATTTATAGTTTTTACATTAGAAGATTCTAGAGTCTTCTTCAAATAACGACTAGCACTGATTAGATAAGAATTAACCAATCAATGTGCACCAACTCAATCGTTCATGGAACGTGCTTTGATCCAATCTATGTCCCGCTAACACAATCATATGTTCATATTGTGAGCATAAGCTATGTAAATAATTTCCTGTTAAAATTAGCTCTCTTTGTGAATAAACCACAATAGGTATAATAATAATCGTAATAATTCAAAGCGTAAATGTAATGCTTGTATCCAATGTATACCAAGTTTTGATTTGGTTAGCTAAGCAGTATAAATCATTTCATAAAGTATCAAAATAAACTTTTGACTAGCCGACCTATCTTCAATATGTAACTTTTCTCGGTGATTATTACTTAGAATAATTTCATTTGAAAGATTCCACCTTCATTTACCTTGAAAATTAGAAACCACAAATGAGTTTGTTTATTCAGATACCGAGATTATTTATTCAGTGTTGGAAAAAATTCACTTGTTAATTAGGTTAATTTGTAGAAGGTTAAAATATATCGTAATTGAGTAATATGTCAAGTATTTTTAAAGTGTTTTCTTCTATAAGTTCCTTTCGTTTCAGAGATATCTTCTGTTTAATGCCCTAGTTTGTGTGGTTGTGGTCATCCACAATGCTTTCAACGTTCACTAATTGTTTCATACCTAGCATTTTCAGTTATTATTTTTGCATTCATTTAGTGACTGGGTTTTGTGTACTTTTGATCAAAGATGTATCAAGCCTTGGTCTTTATTCTACTTGTTTCTCTTACTCCAACGTACTAAACTACTTTTCACCGATATTTCGATAACAGACGGATGAGAATAAGGCGAGACTTAAAACGAAAGCTTAAATCAGAGTTGTACTATAATCTGCTACATTTATTTATTAAATGTACGGGAAATTGCCGTAATTTCTGATGAAATAACTTACTTAATGAACATTCAAAGCGTTGCGATAAACCTAACCGTTTATTGTTGTTTTAATCATATAAAGATGATGATGATTATGGTTACTTTTAAAAAATTTGAATCCTGGTTTTGTTTTGACATTTTTATTTTCCCTGCTGAAAACAACTGATGTATCTAGGACGTTTTAATCGTAAACCATCAACTCGAATGTATGAAAGGAAAAGTTCAGAACCTAATCAATCAAATGATCATTCAGAAAAAGATTGTATAACCACTAATATTAATAACGATGAATCATATAATTCCACAAATCAATCCACTACAAATTTGTTTACCACTACCCATACCATCAGTGGTAGTACGACTAACTTAAAACTAAATACAGAAATTAATGATATTTTAGTCTCAGATTTAACCAATGATGATGACATGCCAAAAAATCACAATCATAATTATGCTTATTCATCGACTTCTGACCGTTCAAAACAAACTAACTACAATTTATTAAATGATAAAGTCGGTGGGTATTATTTATCATCATCCAAAAGTCAAGCTAATAATAATATGGTAAGTGATCTAATTTATTTTACATTTTTTTCCTTCCTACTTTGACTGTAATTTTGATCAAAAACTGACATTAATTGAGTGACTGAGGAGCAAACTCAATTACTCTAATTGAGGGATTCATCATCATACTAGTTCTGCATAGTGAGTAACTTTATTATGGGATTTCCCGACGTTCTAGTGGAAACTTGGTGTCTGTGAAGTCAGATATGTTTGAGGCATTGGTTAGTTTATGTGTTCTTCACATTCGAGTCTCATTAACGTATTGTATTAGCTAGCTTAATATAAATGTGGCAAACGCTTTCAGGCAATTAAACATTTGTATAGAGCCATTTTATGAAATCACTAAATCTGTTTATTATGTTTCTGGATTAATATAAAAATAACAACTAAACTTGTTACTTCAAGGTTAGTAGCAATAATTTACAGTTATATCTTCTCTTTATTTTTTTCTCATGCAAATCATCCATATTTTTGTTATTCATTAGTTTTCATTCCTTATTATTAATTTTCTTACTTCTTTTACTATGAATGCTTTCGATTAATGTACATTAGTCTAAGTTAATACATTTCTCATTAGTCCAACAGTGTCAGGATGATTTTATCGATCGCAATGAAAAGCTGAACATACAAAATACAGTTAGAAAAGAAAAGAAAATTAATTGGATCAGTAAAAAGTCTGAGATAATACCAAAGCCACTATGATAGATTTCAAGTCACGTTACTCAAGATGTCGTCAACTATAGATTGTAACGATAGCTTCAAGAATCCAATTAGGAGCATCTTTCTTCTCGAAATGTCTTAGTTTAATAATCAGTGATTTCATTGACTGATACCAGTGTCTTGCTTTAACCATCTTGTCTCTTCTTTTTTTTAAACAAACTACATTTATATCAACTAACACTACACACCGTTGCAGATTGATAACGGCTGGACGTGTGTTGTGTAAGTTATAAGATCTTAGATAATAGAGCTTTTTAGTTTCGTTCATTAGGTGGTTACACCATACGTGACCAATGCTTTAATCGAATATAGTCATGTTTTGTTTCACCAGAGACTATGATTCACACAAATTAATTATGTAGGATAAATTGTTGCTTAGTAAGTATTATGTCCGCTTTTTGATTGACAGGTGGGGATTTCGCCTATACCATAAGTGGTACATGTTATAAGACATCAAACTAAAATTATCGCTGTTGTGCTGTGTTCATCAGCAGACCTACTTTTTTTTGTTACTTTCGGTATCTCTATTTTTTTCTTGGTAAATGTGCTGTGTGTTTGCTTTAGGTACTAACTTCGTTTCCACTAGTTTTAAAAAAAAACCCAATTTGAGTATACATAATTTCATTCTAATTATTTACTTTGTAGTTAGTTCTCCGTTGATGCAATGTCGTTTAAATCTGTCTTCTTACGATAAAAATCAATTGATAATGAATGTTTTTCTCAATGCCAAATATCTGTTTAAGTAATACGCATTTCTAACAGATAAAAAAAGACTAATTACGAAAATAATAATATTCTGTTAAGGTAGAGTCCTTAAAATTTCACTCAACTGCTAACAGTCCTTGGTATGTTAACTTACAGTAAATAGCAGTAGAATGAAGTAGTTTTTGCTTAGTTTTAAATCATCTTGGTTATTTCTTATCAAACTATATCATTTTTTCTGGATAGAAAAGATGATGGTATGCTGATTACATTTTCCCTCTCTTACAATAACCACTCTATAACTGATTTCCATCTTGAAACGTGATCACTCAGTCAAAGCATTAAATGTATCAGATGGATGACCAAACAAAATACAGATCTGAAAGGAAAAATAGGGCTGACCAAATCGCATAATAATAATAATTATTATTATAGTAATAATAATATTGAATAGGTTGAATCCAGTATACGAACAAAATTAAATTCATTTGTCATGTAACTGTCATTTGAAATTTCATTAAATCTATGTTAAAAATACACTAGCCACTTGATGCCTAGTCATACAAATGAGTAATTATGTTTACTTAATAGTTTCACTCATGTTGTTCAATGTTTCCCATATTTCTATGGTTTTTTTGGTTGTTTATTCAGGAATAGTTGCTGAGTAATCAAAGTTTTCGTTCTAAAATTTTAACAAATCTATTGAATATCGTTAGTTTTAATTCATGAACATAAGCAACGGTTTCAATTTCTCATCATCATGTGCGCATATTCTAATAAACAATAGCGATAAAATTTCCTCTCTAGGTTTGTTTTAATCACAGTACTGTTGCTTGTTTGCTATAAGTCTGTATGTTTATTTTCCTGTTTATTCCTTTACAGCAGGCAAGTTCTGATGACCTACTTGGATTTCATGTGGAATCTTCATTTCCAAACACAGACACTGCTACTACTTCTCCCACAACTACTTCCAATACTGATGATCCTATTTTAATCGACGTAGCACAGAATCCCTTCGTAATTTATAATAAAAATTCGCTAGATGGAATTATTACTTCATCAACAACTAGTCAGCATAATAATTCCGATGATTTGAAACAAACTGATCAAAAATCGTTTGTTGATGATTTATTTAATTTCAACTCACCTGTTGAAGTCAATTCAAAAACTGATATTGATTGGGAGAATGTATTTGGTATCACATCATCAGAAAGCACAAAGATCACTACTATCATCACCACTAGCCACAGTACTACTACAAACAATATTGGCTTATCCAATAATCCTTTTGACCCATTTGGTATAGCCACATCAGAATTATCGGATTTCTTTTCAGTACCAAATTCTAATATATCAAGTGAAAACTCAACTACTACTACTATCCTTCCTAATAAAACTGCCACTACTGCCCCTTCTCCTCCAAATACTATTACTAATACTACTACTAGCAAAGATTACTTTGAACAACAAGGTAGTCATTTAAGTGCCAGTGCCAGTACTAGTAATTTCAATCCGCTTTTTACATCAGCTTCTTTTACAAATTTGTCTCCTAACGTTGAAACTATTCCAGACAAGACTAGTACCACAGCAACAACAACAACAACTAATGGTATCAAGAATCATGATCGTCTAGATCCATTTGCAGATTTTGCTGATGTACTTCGAGATCGATTAAATAGTCAAAATTGTTCCAGTACCAATGTTACAAATGGTGATAATACATATACTCCACCATCATCAAATAGATCGTCCACTAACTGGGGTGGTTTCTCTGCTGGTCCCAGTCCAGCACATCATTTTAAATGTGAGCTTTTTTCAATTGTGATAAGTTATTTCATCTTGCTTCTTATTATTACACGTAAAGAATAGTAAATTTGATGCATTTTATGACGTTAAATAAAAATACCAGATAAAATAAAGTGTGTTGAAATCCTGAACTGATTTAAGCTAGACCACCATTGAAAACCTGGATGCATTAGACGGCCGTCTCGTCTTATTATATGGCTCCTCAGCAGTGCATGTCTACAACAGTGTACGTCTGAGTCAAGCCCAGAACCTTGTGTCTCGCGCGCAAACACCTAATCTGTAGACCACTGGGCTGACACTCGATAGCATCAATGTCTGATTTAAACCCATTCACGACAATACAATGGTCGTCTAACTTATATCGGTTCATGATTTCAATGAAATTCAACAATCTCCACAACCGCTTTCTGTGAATGAAGTTAAATTTAAAACAATAACAGAATGAACATGATTCACATTGAGTGATATCTTTAATTCATTGATTCAGTGTTTTGTCATATTTGTGTGTCTATTCCTTTTAATGTTGAGGTGAGTGGTAAAATAGCGTAAGATTATTATCATTGTCCTGCTTAGTTCGATAAAAATTTATAAAACCTAGAGAACTAAATTCTCACTTGATCTTCGGTTGTTTACGTGTACAGTCTTAAATGCATTGATTTAGATAAAACTGTAATGTATTGGTCTTAGTTCTCATTCTTGTAGAAATTATGATTAGAAAATTAGTGTTTTCCAATGAAATGTAATTAGGTTTTGATTAACATTCGTTTGAGCAAATTATGGTTTAATTCTCTTATTACGGGTTGTCAATTATATCCATTCACATCAATTATAGATTTTGATTGTACTATGAATTCCAACTATAGAACTCTATTATTTATTTCCAAACAACTCTTCCAGTCAATTAATATTATTTCATTTTAAAAATGCATTACATTTATATTTTTAGGTCAGGGGGTTGGAGATAACCGTCTCGAAACTTTGAACCCAGATCCCATATTAGTTAGCATTCGTCGACGTAGCGTATTTGTGATCTTTTAGGAACTGGTATCCTCTGGTGAACTTAAAGTTGTGCAGCCCAATTACACTGTTTGTGATGTTATCATATAGGCTGAGGCTGACGTTTTGTTAGATCGATGTATTTATACTAAATAATCACTAAGTATTGGTCAACTGGTTGTTTGTCTAGTCCTTAGTGCTGATCGACTTCTGTCGATCAAGTTTACTTTTTGAAAAATCCGTTTTCTTATTTTTAGCAAGTGTCGACTCAAAGTTTATGAACGACTCTTCAAATCATAAAGAAATTTCTGATAATTTATTCCATGGTTATGAGAAATCTAGTCAATCGTATTCTTCCTACTCCAATTTTCCTAATACTACCACTACTACTGGATCAACATCAGTACCAAATAGTGGAGGAACTGGTGCTAGACCTCATGTCAATAAAGATGCATTTTCTGATTTACTTGGTGGATTTGGTTCTTCTCGAACAAACAACACAGATGATAATAAACAACCAAAAACAGTAAATCAGATTCGTCGTGAAAAAATGGCTAAAACTATCGATCCAGAACAATTGAAAGTAACTCTTTTTTAATTAAAATTTTTCACTATTGTTTAAAGTTGACAGCTTTTTTTAAAGATTGGAAACTCTAGTTTTATCTACACTACGGTGACTTTTAATTTTCCTCCTATCAAATCTTCAAACACAATCTCTTTTCATTATAAAGCTAGTAAATAATAATAATTGAAGACTAAGTGTGGTAGCTTGATTGATAGTTTATCCCAATCAGATCTCACACAAAAGTATCAATCATCATCGAATACTAATTCGCACCTTTAAAAATTTTGAATAATATTTATTGGTAATTGTTATTGTAGCTTGACGTTTTCTAACAGTGCTGCTTATTTATTGCATTCTACTGATCCTTGATATTCCACTGTTAATTACTTAATATATCTAAATCACATATTTTCTGTTTTTACTGGTTATAAGAGTGCGACTAACAAACTCATGTGTTCACATGTATATAGTGGATTTTTTGATGCATAATGTCTTTTAATAAAATTGCGGTTAGAAAATTTAATCTAAAATATGTGTAACCATCAAGAAGTGTATGAGATCAAATTACTATCATCGTTATCCAAAGTCATTTAAAAAAATATTGAATACTTAGTGGGCCAAATAATTGACTCATGGTTTTCGATCTATCGACTCCAACTGGCGGGTAATCAAATAGCTAACAATAATAAATTAACCCTAAATTTTGTGTTTTCGCCTACTTCGCTAACAATAAATCTCTTAACTTAGTGGCTATTCTTTGTGCTACGACTGTTCGTTGACGTAATTGTCTAACCAAAACATTAAAGATCCGATGAATGCCCTCTAAAAATTTTGTTATTCAGATTCATTGCTCACGAGGTTATATATATTGCGCTAAGATTTACAATTCTCAAAGAGTGCATAAATAGGCCATTTCTTGATACAAAGATAAAGTTAACATTTAATTGACTTGTAATTTATGAACGGTAAGCTAATTATAACAACATTTGATGACATTAATGACTAAATATTGCTCAGTATTTGTTGGTACATGGAAATGCTGATCAAATGCTTCATTATAAAACAACATTCCTGTTGAACAAGCGAATGACTCTCTGGAATCAGTGGCTCAGGTGGATGACGGATTGGCGTTTGAATTAATAGTTAGATCGACTCGAGTCGCAATATGAACATCAAAACTGCGATCCAGTTATATCTAACTGATGAGTCAGAAATAAGAAAAAACTCATATCCTGAATTCCGGTGCTAACTACAACCCATACATATTCTGCAACAATTAATGAATCAAAATATAACTAACAGTTAAGCCTATAAAATTATCATTTAATCAACTGTTTCGGTAAATGCTCATTGAAAATATGCTAGCTAATTCATTGAAAAATAACTATTCAAGTTATTTTTTTCTCTTACAGCCTCTCTCTAAGGAAGTTTAACTGGTTTTTTATGGAGTATTTTCTTAATTAATTAATTAATTGTTGCAGCTCAATACCATCGGTTTTCGTAATTTATAATAGTGGAACTTATTAATTAATTAATTTCAATACCTAATCAAACGTTTTTTACTTAAAGGCTAGTGATACTCTTTAACTCCTTAAATCGATATAGAGCAGAGTTCAAATCTCTTGTTCAACGGTTGAGTGGAGTGTTTGAACTATAGAGTCACCTTTTCAACTTATGGTTTTGTTCATATTTGTGTTTTAAATACATTAAACATTGGATATATACGGTTGATAACTATCAGAATAAAAGGGATCTCTAAAATTTTCAAATATACGTGTAACACCAATATGTAGATGCTTTCAACTCATTTATATCCTATATTTTAAAAAGTGTGTTAAAAATCATGAATTTAATACAGAGCTTGCTCAGTGTACTCGTCTTTTGATAGTCAGATGAAGATCTTTCCACCTGTATAAGTAGCTAATTACATAGAACTCTGAATAATCCTATCATACTTGTTTTTAACAGTATAATTCTTTTTGCACTATATTTATGTTTTGTATTAGGTCTTTGATTGGGCTGAGGGTAAAGATCGAAATCTTAGAGCATTATTATGTTCACTACCGGCCATATTATGGGATGGAGCACAATGGAATCATGTTGGTATGGCTGATCTAATAACGCGGGATCAAGTTAAACGTCAGTATCGGAAAGCTGCTCGTGTAGTTCATCCTGATAAGGTAAATTTAAATAACTGCTTAGTTGAATAGTTTTTATTAATGGAGAAACAAGATTATTAATGTTAGATAACGTCAAATTTATTCTTCAGTTAACTAAAGCATAAAATCTGAATTATACTCTTATTTTATTTATTTATTATGCTTTATATAGTGGATGAGTACATCATACGAGAATATCGCACGTCTAGTGTTCGTTGAATTAAATGATGCTATGGCTGAATTTGACAAAAATGTTAACAACAACTTTTGACGTTTTTTGTTTTACCTCATTTCAAATGATATTATCTATACTTTCTTGTATTTCCTATTTGTCCAACTGTGAATTTCTCTATTTATCATACAATTAATTAATTGTATCACTCTCCTAAGTCATTCCATCCTGAAAGCAAATACTTTTTTGATGAGTTATCATGCTACGTCTTTTTGTTCTATCTTTTTATTCATCTATACACTGCCAGATACCTCATCTTCTGACTGACAATCTATGTAAATCTGTGATGTAGATGATTTTGTTTCATAGAGAGGAGATCATGCATTATTTAGGCATTACTATCCTTGTTTTCATTTCTAATTGTTCATTGATGATGGTAATACTGGTTGTGGGTAGTGGTGATATTGTTACCCGCTCTCTTTCCTTGAACTATGGCCTTCTTAATCGTTCTTATCCATTTGTCTCCTCATTTTTATTTATTTTTCTCATGTTATCACGAATTATTACCATTATTATGAGATTTTGTCCAGTTTTTTCTCATGATTTTCATCATAATGATGTCATACATCATCATTTGTAATACAAAGAACAGAAAGAAGAAAGAATTTTTCTGTTTTCTGTGCAATACAAGCGCCTGTTATAAAAAAATATTCTTTTGTGCCCACATTCACATGGAATTTGTATATAGTTTAGTTTTGATGATGTACTCATTCTTATTATTTAGTGGTGATATTATTTCGGTCATCGGTTTACAGGAAAAGCGAAGCTGAGAGACCAAAAACAAATTAGTTTTCCAGTTTAGTAAAATAACAATTATATATTTTAAAAAAATTGTTATTTTTCCTACTTATCAATAAAATGTATGTCTTTTGTTTTCTTAGAGTTTCTTCTTCCACGTCTGATCATTAGTTTATCGTTCATCTAAATATCAATATACTTTCACGTTATATTTGTTTCGTTTCAAACAATTATTCGTCTTCTTCATCTTCTAACATTGTCATGATCAATATCTTTATCATTATTTTAATAAAGAAAATCAAATGATAATAATCCTCCATACATGTTTTCTTTATCTTATCATATCCTTTAGTATGGATCAGATCAGTTTTTTTGTGTGTTTGTATATACAGTTCAGTTTCATTAATTGATTAGATAGCTTTAATTCTAATTTTGCTATTTTATGGATTAACAAATTTGATAGGACTACTCAGATATAGATGAGACTGTATATAAATAATGAGTGTGTTGAAAAATATATTTTTTTCAAAAAAAAAATGAAAAGAATCAGTTGATAAAAGGTACTTTCGTACACGCAATCTTTAAATGTTAGAAATCTATATATGAGTGTATGTTTGATTCCAGTGCACTGGAACTTCGAGCTTTAGTTTTCTACAGTAGCCGCTTATTATACGTAAATTCAGTTGAGTATTGTGTTATAAAAGATTATGGTTAGATTAAGAAACATTGTATCTAAAACTAAATTAGGGTTATAAAACTTGTTTGCTTATTTTTTTTTCCAACGAAATAAGTAGTGAGTACTTGTGGATATCTTCCCAATGTTAATATTCGTTGTGCAAAAGTCTCAGTATCATTCTTGAGAAGTGATTTCAAACTGGAGCGTATTGATCTTGGAATGTTTATTTATGAAAAAAGTAACAACAATGCATTATTAAATTTTCAAGTTAAATTTAGTTATTTGACCACTAGCGACACATCACTTCCGCTTAGATTAATTTATATGGACAATATTATTACGATAATGAAACTTATAAATGTTTTGTGAACTAAAACAGGTAGGGACAACCAATGTATTTTAATACAAAATTAAAGAATTCTTGCAACAAATGTGAAAACCATACGTACAATACTTCATTTGCAAATCCACCATCGATTATCTCATTGGTATAACAATTACTTCCTATTTCCGTTTCCTTGGATTCGATCTTTCCAACCTTCTACTGCCAGGGTTCCCACATCTGATTGGTGTTATGTACTACTTACGTCGAAATAGATAGCATATACCACAAATGTTTTATTAATATTCAACAAATGAATTTTACATGATGTAAGATGTTGAATATTTTCTAGAGATTTACAAAGTTTAGGATCCACTTGCAGTTTTTCTACTATTTTTCGAGGGATATAAAATTATGATCTGAAATGTTAAATATTTATGAAGATTATTGAATAGTTTATGAAGTTAAGGGTTAACAGTGTACATAGGTTAGTGAATATACCTAGATTTACTTGTTCACAATTATAAAATATTTGAGACAATTACGAATTTCTCTCAGGAATCTAGGCAGAAATAATAATCTCTTAAAAAATTCTAGTTTTTCTTGGCATTGACAAATGTAAAATGTTATAACGAACGAACTACTCTCTGAATTGTCACGAATCCAATTCATTCCTTTAGTTCATAGTTATGTGACCGAGTAATTAGTGCTCTTAAAACCGAAATCATTAATATAATTCCGCTCACCCCTCGCCGTCAGTGGATGAATACCACTAGACAGAATAAAACAAAAACGAGTTATTTCATGTCAGGGTACTAAAATCCATAATTATTTACCAAATATTTGATACAAAATAAACATGTATATTATTCATTCAAAATGTAAATTATTGTAAGGTTCGTACTTCGTATGTCATTCACTAACCTTAAATATTAAGACCTGGTGATCAAATTTATTTATTACCCTTCATATAACGAAACGAAATGTAGATAGCAGATACTTAGACCAGACTAAAAGAACATAATCATCAAGCGATTGCGCTATGTATGATATCGTGACCCACTCGTGAAACGATTGTGGATGCTGTATAATTAAGTCGATAGAGACTAAAAGTTAACCAGGAAGCAACATTGAATTACCTTGTACTCTGGTTGACTGTTGGTATTGATTGTTGTGTGTACCGTTCGTCCTATCCTGATTTACATGCTTCCTACATACGAGCATAACTAGCTACATGAGAAGATCAAGCACAACTGAGAAGCTTTATTGGAAAACCTTAGTCAAAATATCTACGCAAACTTGTTCATGTCTCGGATAATTAGTCCAAGCCTGGACTCCTCTTATCCAATCTTCGTCTTCCTGAGAACATTTTTTATTTATTTGAAGTCTGTTCTGTTGCAAAGTATGTCGACTTCGAGCATAGGGCGGTGAACTTGACGGGGTGGTCGAGCTTGCCTATCATGATGAACCAATCGGGCTTTACTGGCTGGGACAATAATTCCTCAAGGTCCTAAGATGCCAGGCAGGTCGGTTGAAGAACAGTAAGACTAAAAGCAGCAAACCTAAGGGCGAAGTCGTAATACTGACTCTACCAAGGTGTGACGGCAGTAGGGTATTTCCCTCAGATAACCAGCGTAACAGCGACGATGCCTTCCCATAAAGAAGAGTGTGGTTAGAAAAGGTCGACCCTAAAAATGCACACCTTATCCCACGGATATCCGTCCCCGGCTGTAAGGTCTCGACAAGTAGGGAGCTAACACAAAAAAATCGTATGTGATCAGCTTCAAGCAGTTGTCCCTTGGGCACTGCAGTCACGTTCTCAGGTCACTAAGACCAATTCCAACCCAGTTCCCTTTGCAGGTACTTCTCTCTCTTTAGAGAGATGAATAGTAATTTTGTTATATCCCCTGGTGAATTATGAATGGTAAATCTGAAGTCTATTTATGGACAAATGTAATATGCCTATTTCCTATTGGATAGTTGTTAAATAAGTGACCTAATCGTATTCGTGTTCCTCTTATCATAACCTTTATTTTGACCTTGGAACTATTATTATTGACTACTTTCCCCCTATCTACAGCCACATTGGCCAATTATTGTACAAATGTTATCTTTCTATTTTTTGGTATATTTTGGTCTGTTTGGTTAGTATATAAACCCAGTATGCTTGTGAATAATGATTCATATTGCCGAGGCTGTATTTGTGTTCTGGACTTAACGGCTGGGCTAGGCAGATAGGAAGAACCGGATTGCACCCAAGACTGCTCGTACGTATTTCCTGTATCATTGGACGTATATATATATTAAGTGCAAATTCATACGTTATGACACATTTCTCCATCGTTCTATGTTTCACACCTACTGAGTTTATAGTAATTAGTCTCATCAAAACATTGTCTGATCTAACGTTGATAGTCCTAACATTTATTTGCTATATTTACATAATCATTATGATGATTAGTATTTTCCCTGAGTGCAAAATATCAAAGTTTGTAAAACGTCTTATCTTATTGAGAGACATTATAGTCTTGTTTTTAAAAAAATCTACTTTAACAATCGGTATCTTGTTTTGTTCATTTTTCGATTTTAATTTTACTCTACTCTTATGTGTAATTCAGGACTATTCAGGTTTATTCTGCTCTACTATACTAGCTTAGTTTATTGATTTTTCATACTTCATTCCCTAAATAACCTTGTCGCTAGTTCTTCCTTAAATTTTTTTGGATTTGACCCATATATTTATTTAAACTTGAGGAAAAATTTTCTTTTCTTTACGTGATTGCAATTGTTATATCGAGTGAGTGCGTACGTGCTTTGTTTAGTATATGACGTTATAAAACCGCCAATCAGAGCAATGATACACAAAAGCCGTATTAACAGTTTTGGGTACTTATCAGTCTTGCTTTCTGCCTAACCCAGACAGTTAAGTCCAGAACACCAATAACAGCCTCTGCAAATATAAATCATTATTCTCAAACATACTGGGTTTATATACCAATCAAACTGACCACATCGTACCATAAAATAGAAAATAACATTTGTACAAGATTTGGTCAAATGTGACTGGGAATAGGTGGAACAGTAATTAATGGACTTAGGATAATTATCAGAAAGGGGTTTCGTAGAGATTTTAGTAATTTTATATAGTTGAGATCATGAGTCAGTTGAAGGTAGACCACCATGGAAAAGCTGAAAGCACTGGACGGCCGTTTCGTCCTATTGTGGGGCTCTTGAACAGTGCGCATCCACGATACCGCCTCACGAGATTCGAACCCAGGATCTATCAGTCTCGTGCGCGAGCACTTAACCACTAAGTCGACACTCAACGGTGTTAATGTCTAACTTCAACTCACTGAAGACATTTGTGAATGGTTGCTCAAATATCGTGGATTGGTTGAAGTTAGACATTAACACCGTTGGATGCCGGCCCAGTGTTCTATCGGTTGAGTGCTCGCGCACGAGACGGGTAGGTGCTGGGTTCGAATCTCGCGGGGCGGGATCATGGATGTGCACTGTTGAGGAGTCCTACAATAGGACGAAACGGCGGTCCAGTGCTTCCAGGTTTTCTATGGTGGTCTAGGACTAGGGATAACTCAAGAATGGTAAATCATGTAATTATAGTCTGTGGGTCAAAATGAAGCTTATAATAAGAGGGACACGAATACGGATACTTTAGTTACTTAAGAACTATATTGTTATATCCCCCGGTGAATTACGAATGTTAACTTTTAGGTCTATTTATCGACCAATGTATTATGCCTATTTCCTATTGTACAATTGTTACGTAACTAAACTATTCATATTCGTGTTTCTCTTATCATAGGCTTTATTTTGATCTTTGATTTATTATCATACGATTCTTGAGTTATACTCAGTTATTGATTACTTTGATTTGTATAAAAACCCAGTATGTTTGTAAATAATGATTCATACCACTGAGGCTGTTATTGGTGTTTTGGACTTAATTGGCTGGGCTAGGCAGATCACAGGACCGGTTAGCACTGTAGACTGCTCGTACGGTTTCGTGTCACTGTTCCAACCGACAATCCGCTGCCCCTGTTTGGCGGTCTCATCAAGCCACACATCAACTAGGCATCCACTCAGCCACAAGCATAACATATATAATAGGAAATATACATATCATATTGGTCCATAAACAGTCCTCAAAAGATATAATCCATAATTCTCTTCGGATTATAACAGAAATCAGTTAGTTACTTTCATGAATTCAATAATCAAATAACTGATTTAATTTACTTCAATTCTAATATAATAATTTAAAAAATAATGATAGAATTTTCATATGAAA